GGTGAGGGGCGTGCCCCCCATACATCATGCAGTGCTCCCCCTTGTGCCCTCCTAATTGAAATTGAAGTGGGGAGCACTGAGTCTCCCTTCAGAAGCTGCAGCTTCACTGCACTGTCACTGTGTTCCACCCTTTCCCCATGTATGGCTAGAGGGGGCACTGTGCTGGGAGGACTTCCTGCTTGGTCACAGCGCAGGGGATAGACAGGGAGAGGATGCTCAGCTCTGCACAGAGGCATCCAGGCAGCTGTTGGTAAGTGTGAGTCAGTGTGTGTGGTTCAGTCTGTGTGTGTGTGTGTGTGTGTGTGTGTGTGTGTGTATGGGTCAGTCTGTGTGTGGAGTCAGTCTGTGTGTGTGGGGAGTCAGTCTATGTGTGTGGGGGTCAGTCTGTGTACGTGCTTGAGCTCCAAGAGAGATACCACTCATCTCGTGACCTCGATGGATAGACAGCCTTCTCAAACACCACAGATCTGATTGTGTTGTGCCACCCCCTCCCTGCAAGGTAAGATCAGGGAAAGGGGAATATTCTTTTTAAAAAAAAAAACAATTATTAAAGTAAAAATTGTAAAGCTCTTCCCTATCCCACTCTCTACACAGGGCTGTATCTACTGCGAAGCAAACAAGCTAACGCCTTGTTTGCCTCGTTTTATGGGGCCACGAGAGAGCACTTTCTCCTGAGCTCTTCCTGCTCAGCTCCTCCGCGCGACCCGCAGTGATGCCGGGAGCTGGAATATGATGTCACTTCGGCCCCGGCATCACTCTGCAGCATGAGGGAGCTGAGCAGGGAGACAACTTGCACGGCTCCCTCGCTGACAACTTAGTGCGGCCGCTCGCCCGCCTGCACGTCCACTCAATGCGAGCTGCTACCTTTTACCTAAGGCTGGAGCAATTTAGATTCTGCTTAAATGGTATGTGTAATGAGTTCTGTAATTTCCTTTCATCCTTACTTAGAGCAGGATCCCAATGAAATCACTGTTCTGCTACATTTGAAACTCACAGAAGATCCAAGGATAGCGTCATTGTGAACACTTGGATGACCTCTGTTTAGAAAACAGGTCTCTACCCATGCATAGCTGGTTTCCCTGGTTTGAAAAGAGTTAAATGGAGAGTTAGGAAGAAAAACACACAAGACATGACTTCTATATAAGCTTCAATGAAGTGTATGTAGCTCACATGTCATGTAGATTGACAGCACCTCCCTCAGCTCTCCCTCTCCCAAGGGCAGGAGTCTGCTAGCATAAGTCTTATGTCAGAATGGCAGATTATGCACATTCATTGCAGAATTTTATCAGCTGCTCATAGGTCATAAAAACGGATATTGCTCCGAGTGTTCTATGTGAAAACCTGGCAATGGATATGGGACATCTACTGGGGTACAGCAGTCAGTTGAATGCAGATAGACAAGGCATTTTTTTAAGTGCACCAAGATAACCAATGTCCCCCTCCCCAGGCCTCTCCGTGTGTCCCATTCTCCCCCTCAGCCCATCCACATGTCTCATTCTCCCCCAGGCCCTTCACATGTTTCATTTCTCACTCAGCTCCTCCATGTGTCTCATTCGCCCCACCAGCACCTCAACAAATCTCATTCTCCCCTTCGTGTGTCTCATTCCCCCCAGCACCTTCACATGTCTCATTCTCCCCCCAGGCCCTTCAAGTGTCTCATTTTCCCCTCCAGCCGCTCCATGAGTCTCATTCCCCCCAATCCCTTCATGTGTCTATTCCCCCCCAGCACCTCAATGTGTGTCAAGGTATGTGTATCTGTGTCAGTGTGTGTATCTGTGTGCCACTATCTGCCAGTGTGTCTCTGTGTGTCAGATTCATACACAATGGCACATACAAACACAAATATACACACCTTGACACACAGATACACACAACTTGACACACAGATAGATACATACATACACACACACAGATACACACTGTGTGTCAAGGTGTGTGTATCTGTGTGTCAAATTCATACACACTGGCATATAAAAACACACAGATACACACACCTTGACACACAGATGCACACACACACTGTGTGTATCTTTGTGTCAGATATACAACTGGCACATACAAGCACAGATATACACACCTTGACACACACCGGCACATTTTTTTTTTTTAAATGGCGCAATTGATATTTTTTTTCGGGTGGGGGGAGGGGTTAGTTCACTACACTAACACACTCTGCATTCACCACATTAACACACTGCATCCACTACACTAACACACACTCTGCATTCACTACACTGACACACATGCATTCACTACACTGACACACATTCTGCATTCACTACACTAACACACTGCATTCACTACACTAACATACACTGTGCATTCACTACACTAACACACTCTCTGCATTAACTATACACACAGCATCCACTACACAAACATCCTGTATTCACAGTACACACACTACATCCACCACACATTCAAACACTCTGCATTCACTATTCAGAGACACTGCATCTAATACACACACACTACATCCACTAAACACATTGCATCTAGTACATACAAACAATACATCCACTACACAAACACACACTACATCCACTACTCAAACACACTCTGCATTCACTATAAACACTGCATCTGCTACACAAACACACACTCTGCATTCACTGCACAAACAGTATCTAATACACACAAACACTACATCCACTACTCAAACACACTCTGCGTTCACTATAAACACTGCATCTGCTACACAAACACACACTCTGCATTCACTGCACAAACAGTATCTAATACACACAAACACTACATCCATTACACACATTCTAATTCACTTCCACTATACACACCACATTCAGTCCTGCATCATTGTCAGCGGACTAGGTAGGAGTCCTGTGGGCGGGTAAAGGGGGATGGCAGGAGGTAAGGGGGGCCAGGGAGGGGGAGCGAGGGGGGGCCCAGATCTTGTGCTTTGTCAGGGGCCCCATTGTAAAAACTGCTTTACAACTAATTACAATGTGTCACAACTTCATTAGTGCTCCATACATTGTGTGTTTGTGTATATCTAGAAATGTTAGCTATCTTGGCTAGTGGTACCCAATTGGGGCACACTGAATTCCATAAGCCATGGACTATTTTACACATTTAAAGCAGCAAATCTACCTTGGCGCTATGTTTTCCAATGGAGAGGTTTTGATCTGACCAGTGGCTATTTTAATTTGGAAGCAAAGCTTGCCTAAGTATGCAAGCAAAAATCTCTGACTCGATTTAGTAAATCCAGCTCAATGCTTTTACAAATGTTTCCCTCCTGCTCAACCTGGCACACTCTATAGTAAATAAATAAAATCCTTAATATTATAAGGTTAGGGGGCGTGGCTACCGGCGGAGCAAGATGGACGTGTAATCTCTAGCTCCTGCACATGGGCTCCGACAAAGGTGTCTCAAAACCCGCAATAGACGACCCTGACAAGCCAAAAACGAACATGTCACAACCCAAGCAGAAAAGGCAAGCCTCCAAAACCGAAAAACAAAATTTTTTTGGTCAAACTGCCGCGCAAAACAAATATACAAGCCAGCAGCACCAACAAGATGGCGGGGAGGAAACACACGACAGCAACCTCCCTACAGACTCTGCCGACCAGACTATGGAAGAGCCGGTCACCAAGCAATTTCTTTTGGAACAGCTGGGAGCGTTCTCCAGCAAAATGATGGCTGGCTGGGAAAAAGGCCTATCAAGCCTGAAGAAAGACATAGGGGAGCTGGGAGCGAGAACCTCCCGCGTGGAGGAGAGGATAGAGGAAACACAAGAGGCACACAACCACCTAATAAACCAGGTGAACGCACTGCAAGCCACAGTATCCACAATGGAGAACAAGCTCATGGATATTGAAGATAGGGCGAGGAGGAATAATCTACGACTGCGGGGCATACCAGAAACGGTGGCCCCTGCGGACCTCCAGGCCTATGTGCACGAATTTTTCCATGTGCTCTCGCCAGACACACCGCCAGACATGCTCCTCTTGGATAGAGTACACAGAATACCTAAACCTTCACACCTACCACCCTCAGTCCCAAGGGATGTCATCCTGTGCGCTCACTACCATCATATTAAAGAAATAATCTTAAAACAGAGCAGAACAAATAAAAACGCACCCGGCAAATACGCTGATATAAAGATATTCCCGGACCTATCTGCGGCGACGCTGAGAAGGAGGAAAGCCTTCCAACCCATCACTATCATCCTCAGGCAGCACCAAATAGCTTACCGGTGGGGTTACCCCCTCAAGCTTCTCATCACCAAAGACGGCGCGACGAAGATATTGGCCTCGCCAGAAGATGGTGAAAAGCTCCTCAAGGAATGGAACTTACCCACACCAAGCAAGCCGACTAGAGAATCTGCCATGCTGCATAGCGAATGGCGCAAAGTATAGTATCAATAGACTTATACCAGCCAATCTGGACTGATAATAAGATATAACGAGTAGAGGCTGGTAATGTATATAATGAACCAATTGTTTATGTTTGCTTATGTTAATTTTGTTAACTTTGTGACACCTCAACCCGCACATTTCAATGGCACAGACAACACCTACACGCACGCCAACGCACACTAGAACCCCGAATGCCAAAAGTAGACCAAATCTAGCTCAGATTTACCCCCTACCTAATTGAGTAGGCACACCCACCAACCCACACCTAAGACAAAAGGGTTATGGATAACCTACTGACCCTAACCTGCTGGAATTGAAGTGAAGCTGAATTGCAGACGCAAAGTTAGCTGCACCACAACCTGAATGCCTATCTAAGATTGTACAACTAAAAAAAAAAAAAAAAAAGTTAATATTATTATTACTCTACTACTGTATATTAGAATCAAACGGAGCAAGAGGTCGGGGGGAAGGTGGGGACACGCTAACCAAAATACCCCAACACGAAGCACAGCACAGACGCACTAGCATTATTAGTACAAGAAGCTGTGGCAGCTTTCCCCAACACACTGTAGCAATTGCCGGGGTGATATAAATTGAGAAAGAAAGAAAAAAAAAAATAAAAAAAAAAAAAAACAGCACTTGCACTCCCTCTGACCTCAGTACCTATACTAAGATAAGGCACCAAACCCATAATCAGGGATACTAGCTTGGCATGAATTTCGGGGCATATGATAATACCTAAACAATGAAGGAGCCCAGGTAGCCTCCTTCGTGAGCAGAAAGTACATGCTCACCACACCCCAGGTACTACCAAGGAGTACCGAGCCCTACATCTGGGCATTGTTGTACATAGTTGAGCTCTCTACGAGACTCAGGTTTATACCCCACCTATCCTTACCCCTAGTTGCAAACCATGAGAAGGATCAAGAACCCACTACACCCAAACCTATGCATATCAAGCAAACAGTCCGCAAGTCGCTCATCACCAGGCACACACCATGGCTGGCATACCGAGGCAGACTATCACTAAACATTATACTGAACTACTCAACAACAGACGAAGAATTCCAACCTGCCCAACCCCATAATGAAAATATATTCACATAATGTAAGGGGCCTAAATACCCCCCAAAAACGCCAAACATTGCGCACAGAACTGAAAAACCACAACGCGGATGTGATCTGCCTCCAAGAAACTCACTTCAAAAGGCAGACATCTCCTTCCTTGGATCCTTCACAATTCCCAAACCAATACCACTCCACACATAGCCACAAATCCAGAGGAGTTAGCATTCTAATACACAAATCAGTGGCATTTGATCCACTCAAAATAGTTAAAGACGCCAATGGGAGATACCTCATCCTAATATGCAACCTCAATGATGTCACATACACCATAGTCAATATCTACGCACCAAACGACAATCAATGGCACTTCCTACATAAAATACTGACTAAAGTGAGTACTGTACAACAAGGCATAGTAATATACTGTGGAGACCTAAACCACACCCTAGACCCAGAAATGGACACTACACTAGACGCAAAAAAACCCAGACTGGCATCTCTTAGACCGGCCTGCGCCAAACTTAATAAACTGCTAATTCAATTTAACTTATACGATGTGTGGCGCACACTACATCCAGGAGATAAGGACTACACCTACTACTCCCAAGTGCATAAGACCCACTCTAGGATAGATCATTTTTTCATGACCAGCACAGGATTACCACACACGCACCAATGTATACATGGAGATATTACATGGTCGGACCACGCCCCAGTGATACTGACACTCATTGACGCATTCACATACAAAGGCAAAGGCTCATGGAGACTAAACAACTCACTGCTTCACGACCAAGACTTCACCATCACACTAGACCAAGAACTTAAACAATACTTTACTACTAACGAGAACCCCCAGACCACGGCCCCGATTCTGTGGCAAGCACATAAATCAGTCGTACGAGGACTGTTGATCCGCAGAGCATCATATCTCAATAAACAAAGACGTGCAACACTGATGAAACTGCTCATACAATTAAGAGATACGACCCAAACTTATTACCAAACAAAAAAACAGGATCTCCTATCGGAAATCCAAAACATCACCTCCAAAATTAATGACCACCAATTCCAAAAAACGGCATACATTCTGAAAAAATTCAAAATGAACCATTATGCGAAAGGGAACAAGGCTAGCAAACTGCTGGCCAACATGTTACGCAAAAAGCAATCTAACTCCAAGATTCCATACATTCTCTCAAAAAGTAACCAAAAACTATGGAATCCACAAGACATGAATAGGGAATTAGTGACCTTCTATAACACCCTCTACAATCTAAAAGCAGATGAAACCCTATATCAACCAACTGTCACAGACATTGAGGGATACCTACGACAAATACCACTGCCAACACTGACAGAAGAACAAAAACACAAACTGTCGGAACAGATCTCGATAACTGAACTGACGGACGCAATTGCCAGACTACCTACAGGGAAATCCCCGGGCCCAGACGGATTCACGAATCAATACTACAAAACTTTCGCACCCACACTCGTTCCTTACATGAAACGAACCTTTCAATCCATAATACACACGGGGACGATCCCACAGGAAATGCTCATAGCCCATGTAGCCACACTACCCAAACCAGGGAAAATGCCAGACAAAGGACAGAACTTACGCCCAATCTCACTTCTTAACACAGATCTTAAACTGCTGGCGAAAATATACTCGAATAGACTAGCTGCAATGCTTCCAGACTTGGTCCATGAAGACCAAGTTGGCTTTATAAAGGGAAGGCACTGACGGTACTAGGAAAGTTTTAGACATACTATACAGCATACACAAACGGAAAACGGGATGCCTATTCCTGTCACTTGATGCCGAAAAGGCTTTTGATAGGCTGAATTGGGACTTTCTCAGAGCGACCTTAACGAAGTTCGAATTCCCACCAGAGTTCATGAACACAATACAGGCTTTATATAGCAATCCCACCGCTAGACTGATCAACGCAGGGTTCCTGTCGGATCCATTTGAGATCACAAATGGGACCAGACAGGGATGCCCCCTCTCACCCCTCTTATACGTACTGGCGTTAGAACCTCTCACGACTCTCATTAGACAACACCCATTAATCCTAGGCGTCAAAACACAAAACAAAGAACATAAACTTACACTATTCGCGGACGATGTACTATTGACGTTACAAGACCCCGAAGCCTCCCTACCACATTTCCACTCTACACTAGAAAACTATAGTAAAATGTCCTATTACAAACTAAATATTTCTAAGACGCAAGCTCTTTGCAAAGGTCTCCCCCCAGAGGTCACTTATAAACTAAAAAAAACCTACACATACGACTGGAGAACTGACTACATTACATTTCTAGGTATACGGTTCACAAAATCACACACCGCATTATTTAACGCCAATTATGGCAAACTCAGTATAGAAATAAAGAAACAACTACAAGAATGGAAAACATCATTCATATCCTGGTCGGGACGCATGGTAGCGATCAAGATGATAATCCTCCCTAAGTTGTTATACCTTTTCAGATCACTTATGATACATATACCCGCCACTTACTTTACCACAATCCAACGCTGGATATCCAGATTTGTTTGGAATGACAAAAGGGCACGTATAGCCCTAAAGGTTACCGCTCAAAGAAGGGGGTATGAATCTGCCAAACCTTAAACAGTACTACCATGCAACCGTACTTAGCAGCATTATCCAAACACGACCAGGCGCACAAGCACCTCAATGGAAGCACCTAGAAGCAGAATGGGCCAATAATATTAGTACTGATAATTTAGTGTGGATACCGAAACTTACCCGGCCGCAACTACAAGATTGCCTACCAACCACAACATTATCACTAAAAATATGGGATGGAGCCCGTCCCCTCCTAACAAATAACTCAATCCTTTCCAAAGCCATGCCACTTAAATCAATAGCACACATTATCCCGGATTTTAACTACAGAATATGGGAAAGACACGGCATACAATTTCTGCACCAGATACTCACCAATACGGGACTAGCAACCTTCGCCTCATTACAGACCTCACATAAGCTCCCAACGGTAGCACATTATTCATACCGCCAATTAGACTCATGGTTGCGCATACAAATTCAGGAGAAAACAATCAACACTCAGACACAAAAGATGACAGAATTTGAGGAAATGTATATTAGCCCCACACCGCCCCAGAAAGTCATATCCTCTATCTATACAACACTACCCACAAAATGCAAACTGCACAAACACAGATTTATCAAAGCGTGGGAAACAGAAACCCACAAAAAATTTACTGAACCGGAATGGGAACGCATGATCCTAACCCCCAAATCCTTCACGTTATGCTCAAAACACATAGAGCTTGCCAAAAAACTCCTATATAGATGGTACCTCACACCCATACGACTACACAAATATAATCAATCCCTTCCAACACACTGCTGGAGATGCAAATCAGGCACAGGAACAATGGCACACATATGGTGGACCTGCCCATACCTGCAACAATACTGGAAAGACATATCCAAAATCATTACACACAGTACAGGATGCACCCTACCACATAATTTGGACAACTATGTGCTCTTCAATATCCCAGAGTCACTACCTAAACCAGATAGGTACCTCATCTTCCATATAAACATAGTAGCCCTAGGCGCCCTAGCACAAAACTGGCTATCACAAACTATACCCTCCATCCCCATGTGCATACAACAAATAAGCCACGCGGGCCACTTTGAAACCACAATGAGAAGGCAAATCACTTCTCCCAACAAACCACACAAACAGTACCGAAGATACTGGGAAATAGCATGGGATAAGTGGGAAACATACAAAAATGACACAACAGGGAACCTCCCATCGTGAGCTGATGTCATGACTGACCTCAACCCACACGAGGCCAGAATACTTACCAAAGCATACCCCACCAGACGGGAATGCCAAAGTAACTGACCACAAGGAGTACGACCACTCCATACAACACTAGAGGTCCAAAGGTGAACTTGAAGAGCAACCGAAATAACCCTCAAATGACTTCAAGCACATAACCAGCCCCCAGGGGAAATTATGGCAAACAATACCACTGAAGCATAGGGTCAGGCCCTAGTTCTCTCCCACTCATCTACTCCAAGGGTACGGGAAAAGTATATATCCCAAAAGCCAATGCACGAATGTCACTGCCTTGCACGGTTTAACAGTTATTATGTGTACTCCAACAAATGTAATTACAGAGACTGTATATGATGACTAACTTGTACACACTCTTTATGGAATTGCAACTACCCCCCTCCCCACCCCTCCCTTCTTTTTTCTGTATCCTCATCCTCAAAGAATGACAAAACAATAAAAATTGTCAAATTTAAAAAAAAATATTATAAGGTTAATCCATTTTCATAATTATTTTATTATGTAACTTTTTATACATATATATATATATATATATATATATATTGTAATGTACATTTCTACATTGAAAACATTTGCATGTCTTATGATAAAAAAAAAATGCATTTTTAAAACTTAGATTTTGACTCAAATGTGCATGAATGCCATGAGTGCCATGAGTGCAAAAGAGAATTGTTTGATACTGTTACGGGTGGTATGAAAACTTGGTCACAGGTTGCAAAAGAGATTTCATAAGCAAAGCTAAGCAACGATCAAAGGGTTTAAACAGGTTGTATTCAATTCCCATGGCTATGGAAAGTCTACTTCCTGCTCCCCTCTGGAGTTTCTTTTACATTCTCATGATCTGTGCAGAAGCAGAACTTTATCCCCAATGTTAAACAGCAGTTCTTTGTTGATTGTCAAAATATCATATCCATGCTTTCTTGTATGTGATACAATCAATAGCACAGGGAATTCCACAGCAAGACCATATACACAGTGTAATTCTCCAGATCACAGAAACTGAGGGATAATAATAATAATAATTCATTATAATAATGAATTTCACTTGTTGTCCAAGAGCATGCTTCATGGGTTCTCCCCATTTCCCTGTCTGAAAGATAGATAAAATATATCACCAATAGCATCATAAGTCACCTCAATGAGTTATTAAGCAATATAGAGGACATATATGATGAAATGTCCACCATTCATCTAGATAGAATGTTGGGCAAAAGTTAGCATAGTTACTTAAAAGTTAGGTGTTGAAAGTTCTGAAGATCTGGAACACAGATAACTAGCCGAAGACAACCAATAAAGCAAGACAGTTATCGGACCTTCCCTGGTTACTCTAGTGACACATCATTTTTGGATAAGATTTCACAGTTTCCTACAGACTAAAGTTCCCGAGTGTCAAATACTTAAAAGATCCTTTTTTGCAGTGACTTTTCTGTTCCAAACGGATACAGTTTCTAACTGTAGCATCCAGCTCTCTTGTGGGTGCAGGCTGCATGCATGGAAATTGTAACTTATATAAATGCCACTGCCATTCTATTTAGTGCCCTGTTCTAGTTCCTTTTAGCCTGAGAAAGCATTTACGGTAATTATGTCAACACTAATTTTCACCCTTGGCTATACCTTTCTAGAACCTATTTTTCCTGTTCCAGACCCTGACTGACTCTCTGACAATGCGGTCTTCTTTGACCATGACCATGACCATGGCCCTTGATTTGAATAGGTTAGCCAATCATTCTTTCTCCTTACCTGTATTTCTGACCACCCCCCACTCCCCAGTATAAGGTTTCTTATTGAGTTACTTGTTTGATATGGAAATACTGCCCCCGATAGTTATTGGATTATCTTTGTGATTTTTAGCAAACTTCAGAGAAGCAGCAATGTTTCAATGTTTGTATTCGAGAATTGTGGCTGCCTTCTTAGCATACGGTTTAAAAAAATGTTTCTGTGGTCTTATTTTCTCATTGGTGCAAACTTACATCAATTGAACGGAGAACAGCCTAAAGACCACTAGATAGCTTCTTCCTAGAGTAATTTTGGTTAGACAACCTCTTCTAGTTAGTTGTTGATGGTTGTTATCATGTAAACCACAACACAACAGTTTGGGGGAGGGAGGGGAACACTCCCAAACGCCCAAACGCATTCACGAGGACTGACAAATTATTTAAACATCTGATATGAGGTATGCCCTTTAATAGTGCTACCTTTATTTGTGTTACTGTTTGACTAATGTATACATAATCTTTTTAAAATACATACAGTATTATTTACTAAAGTGAGAATTCCAAGTGAATTTTTGTTTGAAGTCTAGATTAGCCAAACTGACAACATAGACGATTTAAGAGAATTTTTCCAGTTTGATTATTTTGACCGTACATTTGAAATTCACTTTGAATTCTCACTTTAGAGAATAACCCTGAGAGTCATAGCTAATTTCATACCTATACAATATTTAGATAAGGACTAGCCTTAATCCAAGTAGCGATTTCCACAATAAAACTACAGATTGCAAGTGTTTTCTCACCACTTTTGTTTACTTTTATTAATTAAAAAAATTATAACAAAGTGCTGCAAACAAAAGTAAGATTGATCTTTTCTGCTGCGTACTTTGACGAGCTAAGAAGGATAGATTGCTGCATGGACAACAACAATAGAAAATAGGTAGTTAGGGCAGCATCACTATAACAGAGCGACTTCTAATATATGTAAAACAACAAGTAAATACTAGTGAGTGCACCAAAATAATAATAAAAATGAAGTTTAATCACAAATTCAACAGGAGCAGCAATCTTACATGGTCTTTAAACCTAAGAGTAATTTTAAGGAATAAACCCTGTAGTAAGTGGTGAATCACCTATACATGGTAAATATGCTGAATACACAATGTAACACTAAAAGTGTATCAATAGTGCATAGATAAAGATCAATATAACAAAGTATTAGATAAAGATAATTAAATACCAGTACAATTAAAAAACATAACATCAATAAGAAAAACACTCCCTCGGAACAGCAAGCCACAGTTATTGTGTACTCACAACACCCTCTATAGGGGGTCCCTCACACAGATGAAACTCCGAAGTGGCGTTAAGTCCTGTTCCTGCCGTCCACGAGTCCTGGATGATTCATGCCAACAGTAGGGTGAAGATATGGGGACAGAGAGCTCAAACCTCCAAAACGATAAAAAGAAAGCCACCGGCTCTGGCAGTCCACCTGGTTAGTATCGAACCTCACTGGGTTGGGGGAGCACGCCAATTAGTACACCCGTATACGCTCCACACTACCAATACCGCGGCAGGAAGCTTCGAAAAAGGCTGCAGTAAAATTAAAAAGACAGCTCTTGTAGAAAACTCCCGGACTTGAAGTCTCCGCGTTTCTTCCCACTACGGACCTTTCTCAAAACATAAATACATCTGTAAAAAGAGCAGATATATTTACACCCCCCATTAACACACAGGATATTTGTAAAACCTGCAAAGGATTCCATGTAAAATTAAAAGTTTTAAAATACCTAATAACAAACTTTGCTTCCAAACACTCAAAGTTATAGTTGAGACCCCCATCACCTTAGCCATCCAAAGACCATATCTCATAAGGTTTAGTCTATTAGTACCATGCAAACATAAGTATCTATTGGTACTATAACTACTACATAGAAAATCGATAAAAGAACCTGTTGAGGTTTGATACTAACCCGGTGGACTGCCGGCCTTCCTTTTCTAGGTGGCGTGGTTTTCGTCAGATCCCCTGGCAGCTTCCTTGTTTTGGAGGTTTGAGCTCTCTGTCCCCAAATCCTCACACTACCTGTGGCGTGACTCATCCAGGACTTGTGGACGGCAGGAACAGGACTTAACACCACTTAACGGAGCTTCATCTGTGTGAGGGGCCCCCTATGGAGGGTGTTGTGAGTACACAATAACCGTGGCTTGCAGTCCTGAGACAATTTTTCTTATTGATTTTATGTTTTTTGATTGTACTAGTATTTAATAATTTCTATTTAATATTTTGTTATATTGAGCTTTATCTGTCCACTATTGATACACCCTTAGTGTTATATTGTGTCTGTGTAATATGCTTGTTTGCTTATTTAGAGTGAATGATTACATCTTAACAAATGCTTAACATGCTTAACGAAATTAAACATTCTTAGCAGTTAGATACAGGGAATGCTCTTACCTGATTGTCCTTAAATTAAAGGATTCCGAATCTATGACATAAACAGAAAGAAAACACTTAAATCGCCACATGTACGCTACTTACAATAATTTACTCTTTTTAGTATGTTGTAGATAGTATGAGAGTATATATGTATAATAGACACATAAAATAAAAACAAAAACTATGAGGGGTTTCTATAAAGGGCTAATATACTGTATAATCCTTGAGGATATTAGCAAATTTTCATCATAGTGAGAAAAGGCCAGCCTAATGGCCCTAAACATGCCTTGCACACAGGCTATAAATAAATAAATATTACTTTGAATTGGGTAGCAGTGGTTTACACCATTAAAATATGCATATTGACCAGAAAAAAGTTTACACAAAGAAGCACAAAAACACGTGAGTCAGGCATTCAATCATTTTATTTCAGTCAGCCCCTGTCGGTTATAAACTTAATTGCAAGAAAGAAAATAATAATAATAAAAAAAAGACAATAACCTCAAGCAATGTTACCCCAATGCCAAATACACCAGTCTACAGACTTGTTACAGACCTATGTTGTTAACTTTACCTAGCTCCTCCAAACCCTGCATATGAACCTGGCACATTGGCATGGCCCATATATTTCATGGTTTGGGCAGATGAACTCTTAAAATAAATGTCCTCCCTAGAATCTTATAACAGGTGCAGACTGTCCCATTCCATAAACTAAGGCCATTTATTTCTGCTTAAGTCTATGTTTCTACAATTTGTCTAGAGGAAGAGTTCGGTTTGGCAAGGCCCAGGGGGGTGTGGGGCTCCCATACTCAGAACTCTACTACAATGCTACACATTTAGTGAGAACAGTGGATTGGCATCAACGAGATCCTCAAGTCAGGTGGTTGTCCGTAGAAATAGAGTCCGGAGATTCCTCATTGGCTTTGTTATGGCTTGACATGAAACATTGGTCTACTCACACTCCACTGTTAGAGCTACCCCTGAGAAATGGAAATCACTGCTCTTTAGGTAGGGTATTACTCCTGAGGGATTGCTCTCAGGCTTGCTATATAGATTGGAAGTGAAGGGGGATCCCAGTCTGCGAGATATCTGAGCAGAGAACAAGTTGCTGAACCTGAAAGGGAACCCACCTCAGTAACATGGCTGCCTGGGAGGTAGACCTGGGTAAAAACATTTCAGAGGAGCAATAGGAGAGGATTATCCTCACTCGATTCAAAGATTCAAGAAATTATTTTAAAACATTTTGCCTAGGTGGTACAGAACTTTATTAATGCAGTAATACATTTGTCTCTACAGTCCCTAATGTTTGCTGGCGATGGTGGGGTGAGTTTTCCACAGATTATTATTGTTTGGAACATGGTCTATGGAGAGCTGGCCAAGATAATAGATGGGATTCCCTATATGATGCCTGAGTGTTGGAACATCTGTCCTGTCCTTGGTGATCACCATAATTACCTGCCGTGGTCTTATAGTTCTATCCAGACCAAGCCACCCCTTTCAAGTATTTGATAGACATACAAGGGAGTCAGATTTAGAAAATGTCTGCTCTCTATTAAACAGAACAAAGGTTTTATAACACACAATAAAGGGGAGTCTAGGGGCAGTATTATTAATTACCATTTATATATTGATAACAATTAACTAATAGCATGGACATCTTGTGCAAAAAACATGATGAAAGCATGTAACAAATCATTGCTCTAAAATTAATCTAGGGGGCTTATTAGAATAGGAGGATGTAGGGTAGTGTCTTCTTAGGAGGGGGGAAACAAGAATGTTCATGTACCAAACTACGTATGTGGCGTCATTGCAATGAGTTATGATTTAGCTGAACAGAAATTAACGCTTTCAATCTCTCCTTTTATTCTGAAAGAATAACTAGACATTAGCATCCTTAACATAAATCAATAGGGGTTGGTAAGTAGGAATAGGGTCATCAGGATATGATAAATAAAGGTCAACACATCTAGGTGGTGTGAGTGTAATTGAGAAAAACCAACAGTGCAGTTGGAATTACCACTAGGCAGATAGCTAACATGCCATCAGCTGAAACAACCCAGACAATAAAATTAATTACATTAAACAATTAACAAAATTAGTAAAATATAAATGAAAATAATGATAAATACTATCAAGTATAATATTTTCATTCCCAGTGTACCTAGTAAGGAACTTAGGCCCAAAGTCTAGTCAAAAGTCACTCAACAAACCTTCTCAGTCTGTCTTGGACCTTCTCAACCTGTCATAGGTCATGGTGAACACTACCTGTCTCATCTATTAAGTGTGTACAGCATTGGTCACCCACTAAATTACATACTCCTCCTTATGCTTCTAACAGGTAATATAACGTCATTCTGATCTGAAGAACACATGATCTAATCTGTTCCAATTCATCAGAATAATGGCATAATAGGCAACAAATGCCCAGATGAGAACTGCAGAACAAATCCCACTGAGAGAGAAGCATATGCAAGTAAGCATGTGTACAGATGCCATTTCAAACAATGTCTTTGGAGATTAGGTAAATCTTGTCTTTCTATCGTTGGCAGGTGGTCAGGGATTATTATGTCCATCAAAACACCGACTTGCTGTTCCTTTGGAAATGGTAATTTGAGTCCTTATCCCTTCCTTTTTTAACTATAAAGCAGCAACTTCCCCATCTTCAACAAGGGTGGCTTTTACTTGGGTATGGTGAATCCACTTCTTGCGCTCTTTAAACTTGACATCACTGCGAGTCATGAGTAGTCATTGTACAAAAACTCTATTTAAGAGTGAAACGCGTATTGGCTATTTTTAAAGGACTTTTTATTGAGGACTTTTAAAATATTTACTTTTATTTATTTTTATTATACATCAATAAATTTGTTATTTTACTCAAGATCCCCATTTAAGTCCTTTTTGGAGCCTCTAGAGAATCTTCAAAGGGGTAGTGCAATCCCCACTCAAATTGGCACATAATCTATACACCTAGAGCCGGGACCCACAGGCTCAGGACCAGGTGAGCACCACATTTATCAACACATTATTGTGTTTTTATAAGTACTATCTACACATTGGTTCGCTCTCCCTCTTTTTGTCTTCGAGAGTTACTCCACATCGAAGTAGAAGGGTGGTGCTACCCTAATAGGCACACAAGCCTCAATACGGAGCCTGTGTTTCTATATACAGGCTCCTTGAAATGTGAGTGTACAATTCATTACGATATCATCACTACCATTGAATGAAATAACGTCTGGTAAGCTGTATATGTGTTTGAGCGCTCCACTTATAGGTGTAGGTCCTTGTTACGTACACCGTACTGAAAATCACAACTTTGTCTAGTGGAATAGAGGATATTTCCACACAAGTGTACTGAGCTGCCTGCAAATCACTTTTATTGTCTAAGCACTTTGTTATACACACCCCTCTGTAAAAAGAGGTAACCTTTGACTGGTATTCATTGTACAAAAACAGTCCATTGTGGAGAAGCCTTTTGCTTTTCCAACTTTTAAACACTACAGCTGCTAATTTTGAGTCCCCACTTTGATGCGATGTACCTTATCACAGTCAATTCCTTGAGTAGAAGCACTGCATTTCTTTCACTAGGGGTCCACTTTGGTTTTATTTTTACTTCTTGCAGCAAGGAATACTCTTTCTTTCTATAATGCCCCAAAGGCATCCAGAACTAAATCAAAATATTTAGCTTTTGTCTGTCTCCGAAATCTAATTCTTGTGTTAGAGCAGACAACTTTGATCCATGCGCTGACAAGTTGGGAGATAGGGACTGTGCGTATTAAAAATAAAGATTGTTAAAATGAATAAACAAACACACATTAGTGAACAGAGATGCACTAAAAAAAAACCTTCTGACATACTTAAACAGAAATACTCATATAGACACACATACATACAGATACATACATATGCTTACAACCACACATATATAGACCCATCTAACACAAATACAAACCCATACTAACACAATGACACATACAAAAACATACTAACACATATCACACATGCAGACACATACTAAAACACATGCTGTCACACAGACACGAGAATATACACAGACACACTGCCCCTCAGTTGCCTCTTCTTCCCCATTTGTGATACCCAATTGGCCAGCAGGACGTTCACCATATTATGCTTTGAGATAGGTAACATAAGTCAGTGATTTACTCCATTAAGGTTCTCCCAGCATAACAACAGATTAGTGATGTGGACTGCCCCATCCTTAGGGCCTCACCATGAAGACTGTGCAGTGGGGCAATACTTGTTTGGGTAAAGTAACAATCACCCAGAAAGGAATTTCCTTCTTGCACCTGGCACATGCCAAGGAAGCCAAAGCCAAAGGTTAAGCCTGTTAACTGTTAAGGATGCTGGTATGCAGTGAGACATTAATAGGACAATGCAGGTTATGGTGGGTAAGAAGAGTGATACTATGACGTTTCATAAAAAGTACCTCACCTGAAAATGAATCCAGAATCTTGGTCTTTAACAAGCATAGTTTCAGAACAATAAAGATAACGCCAAATACTGCACCAAAGCAAGCTCCTATAACAGCATATTTTATATCTAGAAAATATAAGCGATATAAATCACAAGCATTATTTTTATGTGTATAGCACTGCATTCTTTTGCAAAAGTAATCTCATTAATAGTTAAACGTGGAGTTAAGTTTGGAAGAAAAAAAACTGTTGCAATTTTCCATGGTACATGATAATTAAGAGCATTGGGATCATTATTGTATAATTTCAAACATACACATTAAGAGTTACATTTAACATCAGTTTGGGTTCACACAAAAAAAATGTAAAGTAAGAGTGAAAATAATATACATAACCAATTTGCATTTTAGACCTATGTTTTTTAATAAAAGATAGCAATTGAAAATTTGAACATAAAATTCTTTTTGTACCATCTTGTAATTCATGAAGATAACACCAAGGAATGAAATATCTAACCATATAAACCATATAAACAGTGCATATATTCAAAATGACAAACCAGTCTGATTTCACAAAGGATGAAACAAATGCATAAACTGTCAAAACAGAAGACACATAATTCAGGGTGTGATTTGTCTACACAATTGTTTGTGAGTGCATTGCATGTTTTTATACACTTTTCATGTAATAAAGGGTAATTCGCTGCTCCTCTGTGTGCTCTTAACTAGTAGTGTGAAGATTCACAGAATATGAAATCACTAATTTTAAATACGTTACACACTATCTTGTCCCTCTCCAAACTCACTTAGTATACTAAAGCAATAATGATAATGAAAAACAATCATAATTGCTCCAAAAATCATACTACACAGACACAAACCCATATAAATAGAGTAGGATTTCAGCTCTTCAATAAGGAGTCTCATGCTGTCTGTATTTTGGAGGGCAACAGGAGCTACTACATAATTTACGCATGATTTTTATGCATAAGGTGATCACATCTACCAATGAGCATGTGCCCTCATTTGAAAAAGAGAGAAGTTTTTCAAAGCTGGGGCCACTTTATTGCAGGGTTTATATTGGGTTCTAAAGTCACTTTTAGGCCACTACCTTTTTCACCTATTTTGGAATTTTGATTAGGATATAGCATGTTGCTCGTTACATAGTTACATTGTAGTTTTGAGGTATTGCAGTCTTTGATGGTAAGCATCTACACAAGTCATGATTTGACAGGACTGACAGTAGTGAGCTCTGATGTGTCTGATCCAAGAGAATTCAGGGATCAATTACATTTAGTTAATGGCATCAGTGAGTAACTAAGGGGGCAACTGCTTTTTTCACACAAGGTCGCATTGATTTAGATTTTCCTCTGTTTATTTTTGTCTCATATAACATTTTGTATAGAGACCTCAAAAAACATTCAGATTGACACAGAGGAAATCAGGAAGGGGGCAAACACTTTTTGTTGACACACAGTTATATTTAAAGAGAAGTAAAGGGGCTTGCTGAAAAGTATTCTGTGAGGGGGAGGTAAGTGTAATTACAATCATCAAAAAAATCTCACAGAAATAGCTCTTTTATCCCAGCTTCTCCCTCAGCCGCCCTTTATCTCTTATCCTTACTGCAATGGGGCAGACAAATCCGCCCCTTTTATGGCAGAGATCTCCTGGTCACTTGCATATTGCGAGTTTTAGCAGAGTGTCAAGGAATAAATAATTACAGAGGGGTGCACAGCAAGCACATTAACTCACGAGAAACAGCTAGTATGTATATAGATTATTGTTCAGACATTTATAAAAATTAAAATGATGCGAATTTCCCACAATTTTTCTTTTTCATTTATTCATTTGTCCATTATAGAAATATTGGGCAAATCAAAATTTTAAGACGTGCTTTGCAATGTAAAGTGAAAAATAAAATACGTATGCACTATTTTGTTAGTGAAGGGGTTAAGGAATACTTAGGCTGCAAAACTTCAGTAACAAACACCCTGAAAATGTTTGCATAGGGAGGCACCAGAATAAATTAAGGCTGACATAAATTACATCAATCGCTGTCTTTGAAATACTAATGTGCAGGAAAATAAGCATCTGCTAAATTTCTACTTACTTTACTCTACGTTAACAGAATTTGCATTTTTTTTCAAGACAAGGCAGCATTAGAATGTGTGCAAGAATAAAAGAATGGTAGATTTGCTAAAGAAAAATCCAGCTGTGGAATAAGTTACCTAAGGAAATAGCATGCCATCAGTCCTGACTCAAGATTTCTCCTTAGTTTTGGTCACATTACAGGCCTAAGTATGGCTACATGAAAAGCTGTGGTGTGCTCCATGGGAACAACAATTTGTAAATCAAAGTGCTAATCAGAAATGATATGGATTAGCAATCTGATATATGGAACCTCCAGCTGAATTTTCGTTTAGTAGAGAACGCTACACAGTGACTTGGTCCTGAAGACTGTTACTTTGTTGACTGGATGTATCATGTATTATGGTTTAAGGTGCCACAAACCACATCTGTTAGATCTGTCTGCTTGCAAAACAATGAAAGGATGGAACTCATCATTTTAGAAGAAATGTGAGTGTTGGACAGTTTGTCTTCCGATATGTATTGTCAGATACTAATACTGCTTTAGACCCTGAATAGAGATACTGATTTAGACCCTGAATAGAATATTATGTCATACTTGAATTAAAGTCCAGTATTAAAGAATGTAACGGAAGCCTCCATTTCTGGGGCTTTTGGAGGGGTTTGGAGGCTAGCCCCCTTCCCTCAAATTATGAACCATGACCCAGAACTCTCACCAGAGGCTCCAGAAACTGTCCTCACTACCTACCAGCAAATGTGAAACACAGAGCCAGATGAGAAGGCAGTGGCCTGGTCAAATTGTAAAGTATTATAACTTGAGCAAGCTGCCTCCTATCCTAGTTCTGTTTGAACTGTACATGGCAGAGACTAGGGGCTATCTGGGGATATACAATGTTTAGGGGTTACACCTTGAGAAAGGAAACATTTGGAATACCCTTCTTTGGAAAGAAAAAACTGTACATAGCTTAACATTAACCAGTGGATATTAATATTAATCTGGACTGTACTAATTAACTGTGATCAGCCCAGACTTGGTGGTGTTGGAGAGAAAACTTGTTATGATGTGCTATTGTTTTGATAAAGGGATACTATAATTGCCAGGAATACATAGCTGTAATTTTGGCATTTATAGTACCCCTTCAGCAAAACAATAGAAAAATAGAACAAGTAATAAAACCCTTTATTTACTTACCTTATCCGCCATCTCCAACAGTGCTGGATGAGGTGATGGTAATGCGAGTGCCGCGCACGCATTAGACTTCCCCATAGGAAATCATTGAATCAATGCTTTCCTATGGGAAAAAAATCTGATGCCTATAGTGTCCCTTTAATAAATCCCTGCAGATTCAATATATCTTCAACCCTGAGTGTTGTGTTAATAAACCAGTACTTGTTTTACCCTCACTAAGATTTGGCTAGTGTATGGGGAAAGGGCTATATTCAGAACTGCAGTATCCAGTGACTAGAAGGAGGGGAAATAGTAGAGATACTCAGGATGAGTACCGAGCTCCGCTACAAAGGAGCACTCCACACACATAAAGCACTTCATCTTGCAGAGTTTAAGAGTGTGAAAAAGTGCAGTTTTCAAAAGAAATTTATACTTGTATAAATTAAAATGTTATTACACCTTCTTTGGCTGTCAATCAGATAACAGATACACCTTCTTTGGCTGTCAATCAGATATCTTCTTACTTCCTGGTTGTTTTTCTCAATGGAGGTAAACTCGAGGGGCAGAAAATAGCTCAGAGCACCTGTCTTGCAAACACATCACTGAGCTGCACTGGGAAGTCTGTGATTGGACAGCCACAGAAAGTCTTGGCTTAGGAAGAAGAGGCGGACTTGCAAAGGCTTCAGACAAGAGAACTGCTGCTTTTGCAAACTATTTAAATAAAATGTATAACTAAGTGCAAAAATCATTTACTTATTCATTTATTTATTGTCTTTGGGCAGCGGGATGCCCCTTTAAGGAAATGGTATATGATGATACAAGTGTAAATATGGAAGTCTTATGGGTATTAATATTTTGAGAGATAAGAGGAGTATTACCAGGGCTGGTACAAGGCTTTTGGGGTACACAGGCGAAGATGATTTTTGTGCCCTCCACACCCCAAAAAAGCATCTTCACCTGTGTGCCTCTTAACCAGCCTTTTGTTTCTTATCTCCTTTTTTAAATGTCTTATCCCCTTTAGTGTATCTTATCCATCTTATCCCCTATTTTTCCCCTTTGTGTGTCTTACACCGTCCTTGTGTATCTCTTACAACCCCTCTTTGTGTGTTTTATTCCCCCAGCCCCTTTGTGTCTCCTTCTCTCTTAGCCCCTTTGTGTCTTTTCCTCTTCCCAGCTCCTTTGTGTGTTTCTCTTTCACCCCCAGCCTGTCTATCTTCCCCAGCCCCTCTGTGTCTCTTTTTCCTCTTCTCCAGCCCCTCTGTGTGTCTTTCACCCAGCCCCTTTGTATTTCCACTCCCAGGCCCTTCTGGGTGTCTCTTTTATCCCCAGACTCTCTGTGCGTTGGATAGAAGGGCAGCTCAAAAAGATATGATAATATTATACAAATATATTCAGAGCTATTGTAATCAGCTCACTTACAGCCAGCACAAGGGTTAAAATGGTTACTACAAGCACCATACCCACTACAGCCCACTGTGGTGGTGATGATGTGAGGAGTACCATGGCCCAGTTCCCCAGTAATTAGACAAACCATTTGCCCTCTTACCTGTATCCCCACCAGGTTCCTGGTATCCTCTCAGCGCTGGTGACACACTTCTGGCTTCTGTAGATCAGAAAAAGCAGAAAGCTTGTGTAACAGATCACCTGGCACCCCGACTGGGTATCTCCATTGAAGGATGCTCCTAGCGTTTCCTGAGGGCTCCACGCACTCCACTAGACACCATAACCACCACAGACCCCACGAACCGCCGCAGTATGGTTGGGGTCTCGCGGTCTCCTACCCACCGTGGACCCACGACAAGGCTCCAGGTTCCAGTGGGTGAAGCAGGAACAAGCTCTTAAAAGAGCTTAGTGATTATCCAAGGGAGTATGAAGAGCATAGCAATCCCTTGTAGCTGTTTCCCCCAATAAGAGACAGGATTCTAAATTGAGGGTGAAGTAGAACTGAAGGTTTAATGATACAGCTGCTTCTTTTATACAGTATTTCCCCACAAGGTTACCGCCCACGTGGACCTTGAGGGGCACAGGACATGAAACTCACAAACCAATAAAAAACAGAGTTTTAGATTTGAACACTCCCAGTTACAGATTCCCTTTGGAACAATAAGGAGGGGGGAACATGACTGCTGCCCAAGATTGTGGGATGGATCATGGAAGATACAATGTTGTGGGTTCTTAAGGAAGGGGAGAGGGAGGGGACTTACCAGTCGGCAGGATCAGTTGAGGGCTCCTGACTGTTTCTGGTGTTGTGGCTTGTGTCTCGTGTTGTTGTTTTTGTGTTGTCACAGCTTGGCGGTTTCCCTGGACAGCACAGAGGAAGAAAGGAACCTTGGGGAGACGACAGCCGGCACGGAGCTGATGGCGAGGAGCTAGCTGTCGAGGCTCATGGCACCGAATGTGTGTGAGAACTGCCTGTTGGGCAAACACCCAACAACTGGCAGATTTGGACTGAGTTAAATTGTTAATTTAAATAAAGCTGTGACTGTTGCCCTTATCCACAAGAATGAGGTGTCACGTGTATTATTGGGGGGCAACGGGTTGTTGGTTGGGACTGGTTGGGTCAGCAGTCATGTACACAAACCCTTCCTTCTGCCTGTGATACAATTAACAAACACAATGGACTAACTCAATTACCACAGGCAGAAAACCAAATTTTTTACCCGAAACACAGAAAACACCCCAGAACACCACATAGCCCCACAAATTATACATCCCTGGATAGCCCTGATCTGGGCAAACAACATATTCAAAAATCACCCAGATCAGAGTATGGGTTCAAAAGTTTTGTGGAAGTCACATTTGACCGACCGCAACCATGGCTTTCATGCCCAAAATAGTTCCACAGATTTTGGCTGTGCGGCCGGTCTATTTCCACTGGTTCAAATACTAAGTTCCATTCAGGGCTGTTCGACTATACGAATGGCGGCCACTTTGACTCGGCGGTAACACACTCACTAACAGACACACACATAGTAACACACTCACTAACAGATACATACACACACATAGTAACACACTCACTAACAGACACACACACTCTCTAACAGACCCATATACACTAACACACTCACTAACAGACACACACACTAACACACTCTCTAACAGACACACTCATAGTAACACACTCACTAACAGACACACACATACTAACACATTCACTAACAGACACACATTTAGTAAAACATTCACTAACAGACACACACATAGTAAGACACTCCCTAACAAACACACACACTAACAGACAGACACACACACACTCACTAACAGACACACACACACTAAAACACAAACACATTCACATTTTAATTTTTTTTTTAAAAATTCAATCCCCCCAGCCTACCCTACCTTTGGGAATGCTGGAGTGGATTCTCGTTTTCCCTGGGGTCCAGTGGGGCTGCTGGGCGGCCGGCCCGTCGGTGACTGCAGGCGGCGAGGGAGCACTGATCCTCCTGTTCAGCTCCCTCGTGCGCCGCATAGTGATGCTGGTGCCGGAACAACATATTCAAAAATCACCCAGATCAGAGCAGGGGTTCAAAAGTTTTGTGGAAGTCACATTTGACCGACCGCAAGCATGGCTTTCATGCCCAAAATAGTTCCACATATTTTGGCTGTGCGGCCGGTCTATTTCCAACGGTTCAAATACTAAGTTCCATTCAGGGCTGTTCGTGCAAATACCCAATGTTGAAGTGGCGTTTTAATTGTCGAACGCCGTTCAACTCCCATTAAAGCGTCAAAGTTCGATAGAAGGTACAGTTCAGCGGTGATCGTGCCGTCGCGTGTCCGATTTGAGTTTCATGAACTCGACGGCAAAACACTGCTGGCCGTGTTCAGCTAAACAAGATGGCCACCGCCATGTGTTCGACTATACGAATAGCGGCCACTTCGGCTGTATCTGAAGTGCCATTTCAAAAGTGCAGATCCTTTCCCATAGGATTTAAAGGGGCAGAAACAGTGTATTAAAACCCCACAAGCCCAAATAGGGTTTTTAAATGGCAATACCCCGAGGGGCCATAGTCACAGGGCAGGAGGCGGGCAAGCAGGCACCTCCAAAAATTCATGGCAAACTCTGTTAAAAAGAGGAGTTTGTCACAGCTTGCCATTCATTGGCTGAGATCATCAGTTAACCGCTCTCAGCCAATGAATGGCCCACCTTCTAAATACACATACACACTCACTGACAGACACATATACACTCAGTGTCAGACTCAAAGATTCACTGACAGACACACATACACTAGCTAACAGACATACATACGCACTGACAGACACACATACACACACACTCACTAATAGACAACATACACACTAACAGACACACACACTCACTAACAGACACACACACTCACTAACAGACACGCATACACTCTCACTAACAGACACGCATACACTCTGACTAACAAACATGCATACACACTAACAGACACACACACTAACACTCTATAACAGACAGACACACTAACACACTCACTAACAGACACACACATTGCAACACACTCACTAACAGACACACAGACACACACATAGTAAAACACTCTCTAACAGACAGACACACTAACACACTCACTAACAGACACACACATAGTAAAACACTCACTAACAGACACACAAACAGACACACACATAGTAACACACTCACTAACAGATACACACACATACACACTAACAGACACACACACACACATAGTAACACACTCACTAACAGACACACACACTCTCTAACAGACACATATACACTAACACACTCACTAACAGACACACACACTAACACACTCTCTAACAGACACACACATAGTAACACACTCACTAGCAGACACACACACACACACACTAACAGACACACACATACTAACACATTCAATAACAGACACACATATAGTAAAACATTCACTAACAGACACACACATAGTAAGACACTGCCTAACAGACACACACACTAACAGACAGACACACACACACTCACTAACAGACACACACACATACACACACACTCACACTCACTAACAGACACACATACACACACTCACTAAGAGACACACACATACTAACACACAAACAGACTCACATTTAAAAAACCTTTGGGAATGCTGGGGTGGATTCTCGTTTTCCCTGGGGTCCAGTGGGGCTGCTGGGCGGCCGGCCAGTCAGTGACTGCAGGCGGCAAGGGAGCACTGACGTCATATTCTGGCTCCGGCATCACTGCGGTGTGCGCTGGGGAGCTGAACAGGAGGATCAGTGCTCCCTCACCGCCACTGCCAGCCTGGGGGGCCCTGAGGTGTTTTTTTTGCCGCCCCCCAGAAAGTACCGTCCAAGGCAAATGCTGTGATATATTAATAATGAGGAGTAACAACTTGTTAATCCAATGAAAAATCTGACTGCCTTTGTAAATGGCGAGAAGGAATTCCCAATTTGGGGCAAAATTGGAAATGGCTATAAAATAGCTTTTTTATGTTTCATGTCAATCAAAAGAAGTAATAGATGTACAAAAGTCTTTGATAGAGGAATTACTCATTTACATCAGATAATAAATGAAGAAAATGTGATACCCTTTTGTGAACTATTTAAAATTTTCAATCTGTCATCAAAAGAACTTTTTCATTATTTAAGAATGAAAAACTTTTTGGAAAACGAGATACTAAAGATGAAAAAAAATAACAATAGTAAAAAAATAGAAGAGACATTTGTAGGAAAGATCGGAAATAAAATAGGAAAGATTACATATAATAAATAAATAGATCCGCAAGAATCATTTTCCGCACTTCCACAGATAAGAAAGAGTGTGTTCTATTTTGTCTAAATATTCTATTCATAATGAAATCTATTTTAAACTTTTGTTTAGATGGTACTTGACACCAAAAAGATTACAGAAGATCAGTAGTCAGTATACTGATAAATGTTGGAGGTGTTCTAACAAAGTGGGTTCCTTTTCTCATCTATGCTGGGAGTGCAGAGATATTAAGTTGCCTTGGGATACATTTTTCTTAATACTATCAACATTAGCAGAATAAAGAATTAGTCCAAACTTAGCCCTAGCACTTTTTCATGTTCCTATACAGATGTTGCCTAGTAGTGTTAGATGTTTAGCTATTCACTTATTTTTGGCATTTAAATTACAATTTGTAAGAAATTGGAAAAGTGATGGCAGAATAAACTTTACAGAAGTGTGAAAATAAATAAAATGTCAAACCTCAATGGAAAAAGGTTATGGGCTAAATAATGCATTAAACTTAGAGGCACACCAAAATATTTGGTCAGAATGGTATAAAAAGAAAGGAAACCCACTGACCGATCTTGGGTCATAGTCGTCTAACTATACCTGACAGCTCCTTCCCACCCCGCCCCTCCCCCCGGGAGGCCTTCTCAGGCGTACAACCGCCGACATACGCTGACCCCCTTTTCCCCTGCTCCCCCTTCCCGTACTCTCTTCCTTCCCCCCTCTCGTCTATCCACTGTTCCAAGCTCCCCTTCACCCCTCCCCTCCCTGCAGCCTCCCATACCCTCCTAACTCTCCTCCCTATCCTCCACCTACACACACACACACAACATGAGAATGCCACAGGGATTCCAACCCGAATCTCTAAAGCTCTGGTCTAACAACTCCAGAGGCCTTAACATCCCAGAAAAACGTAAACAGCTCCTGTGGATGCTGTGGTCCCTTTGGGTGTCCGTAGCATACCTACAGGAGACTCACTTTGCCGAAGGGAATTCCCCCACGCTCTGCGACAGACGATACCCACAAGGGTACTTCGCGAAACACCAAGATTCTAAATGTTCTGGGGTGACGATTCTCTTTGCGCAGACAGTCCCCTTCCAATGCACGGCCACGCAGATAGACCCGCTCGGACGGTACCTCTTTGTGAAGGGCACGATAGCAGACCGCCCATACACACTAGCCAATGTGTACTGCCCCAACAGAGGCCAGCACACATTTTTAGCCCGGACACTGTCTCGTCTTGAAAAATTCAGAGAAGGACTCCTGATACTTGCTGGGGGCCTACACTTGCCCCTTGACCTGAGAATAGACTCCTCGCAAGGCTCCAGCACTATCCCTGACCACTGCATACGCACAGCCAAACAAGCGCTGAACAGACTGGGGTTGGCTGACTGCTGGCGGGCAGCACACCCAGAAGACAGGGATTACACCTACTACTCAGCGGCACATAACCAATACAGCAGGATCGACTATGTCTTCATGGCGCAAGAATACCCGCCCTTGCTTATAGACGCGGATATAGGGATTCATGGAGACTCCGACCATGCACCAGTATCCGTCCGGGTCACATCACCCCTATTCAAGCCAAAGGAACGCCAGTGGAAGCTCAATGAGTCGGTGCTAACTAAGACCGAATGCGTAACAATGACCACACAGGTCCTCACACAATACTTCGAAGCCAAGACCACACCCAATGTGACCCCGTTGATAACCTGGGAAGCACACAAGTGTGTAATCAGAGGGCACTACATTAGTTATTGCACGCAACGCAAACGCGAGAACACCAAACTTGTCCTAGATTTGACCAAACAAATAGCTGAACTAGAGAACAAGCACAAAAGTGAAGTAACAGACGACGTGTACCTTCTACTGACTGACGCTCGGAGACAACTTAGCGATCTGCTCTCCCAGAAACTCCTCAATGTGATTTGCATGTCTAACAGATATTTTTACGAATACTCGAACAAGTGCAGGAGGCTATTAGAACAACCACTATCTGTTGAGGAACTGTCCGCGGCACTCAAGCTAACCAAACAACACAAAGCATCGGGCCCAGACGGCTACCCTGTGAGCTATCTGCACACCTACAAAGATATCCTATTGCCGCGTCTGCTAGAGGGACTGAACTCCATATTGGAGGGACGACAATTCCCGGTAGACTCGCTCAGAGCCATAGTTACAGTCCTGCCGAAAGAGGGGAAGGACCCGGCATGTTGCGCGAGCTACCGCCCAATCTCTCTCCTCAATGCGGATCTCAAACTGTTCGCAAAGGCCATGGCCCTCCGCATCTCCAGGATATTGCCCGACCTGGTTCACCCGGACCAGGTGGGCTTCATACCTGGCAGAGAGGCACGGGACAACACCATCCGGGCCCTTAACATCATCCACTCGGCCCGAGGGCGGGGAGGGGGGCTGTCCCTCCTGTCCACAGACGCAGAGAAGGCCTTGAACAGGGTGGACTGGACATACCTCTTGGCCACACTACAACACATGGGCTTCGGACCTCACGCACGGGCATGGATTTCCGCCCTTTACACAATACCATCAGCGCAAATTTGACTCAATGGCATTCGTTTCCTATCCGAAACGGCACGAGGCAGGGGTGCCCCCTCTCTCCCATGTTGTTCGCCCTCTCACTGGAGCCATTCCTGGAGGCGGTCAGGACGGATGGGGGGATAGCTGGACACACCCTCGGGGACATGGAGCATCGAGTTGCAGCCTATGCGGACGACATGCTTTTCTTCATTGAAAGGCCACTGACTACAATCCCGAACCTCCTGGAGCTCTTCCGCAAGTATGGGAGGGTGTCGAATCTCAAGCTCAACACGGAAAAGTCGGAATTCAGCAGTATCTCGATTCCCACAAGACTAGATGTGCACATGCGGTCCCAGTTCCGGTTCAGGAGATGTGAAGCCAAATTGAAGTATCTCGGCATCTGGCTGACCAGGGAGCTGCCGCAACTCTACTAGGCAAACTTTCTCCCCATCCTCACCTCTTTATAGACAGATATGCAAAAATAGATGATTCGGACGCATTAACGCAATCAAGATGAACATCCTCCCGCGCCTCCTATACCTCTTCCAGACGATCCCAATCACCCTACCGAAAACGTTTTTCCAATCCATCGCCACAGCCATACGGAGGTTTGTCTGGAGGAGGGGAGCCCCACGGTTCAGCAAACAACTACTTGAACAACCCAAGCAAAGGGGAGGAGCGGGGCTACCCTCAATCATAGGCTACCACCGTGCAACTCACCTTCTGAGAGTCACTGACTGGCATGCCCGACAGACGGAAAAACTCTGGGTGCGTGCCGAAATCACACAGACTGGAGGACAGATTCCCGCGATGCATGGAGGACCGGAATAACACCCAGCGAGCTCAAAACAGGTAACCCCCTGATAGATGCTACCTTGAAGATCTGGTGCGCACTACGCCACCTGCACCAGTTGACCACCCACACCAGCCCACTCACACCGATAGTCCACAACCCCAACATAGGAGGTGGACTGACACCAGCTGACCTAAGAAACTTTGCACAAACGGACTGCATATACCTACATCAATGGTGTGGCAATGGCACCCTAAAGACGCTAACAGACCTGCTCCCTGACACCGCCCCAACAGGCCTTGACAAATTCCATTACTATCAAATCAAGTCCTTCTACTCAAATGTGGCAGCTAAACACCAATTTCACCAGGACCTCACAGACTTCGAGAAGATATGCACGTGTAGACAACATGGAGAGAGGGATATCGACGCTATACGCGATGCTACTAGGGGGAGAGAATGGGCCGACACCGAAGTTCATCAACAGATGGGAGAGAGAAACAGGAGAGAACCTGACCACACAGGAATGGGATAAAATTTTCCTACTCACACACAAGAGCTCCATTAGCTCGAAATTCCAGGAGATGAGTTATAAAGTACTGACGACATGGTACAGGATATAATACATCGCATGAACCCAGACGCGGAGGAGACGTGCTGGTGATGTGGACAGGAAAGAGGTACCATGATTCACGTCTGGTGGACGTGCGCAGTCATCTCCCCATACTGGGAGATGGTAAATACTAAAATCGGGGGAAATTTCGGACCCAGAACCCCCGCTACCCTTACCCATGTTACTACACCACACAACCATGTCATTGCAAACCTACAAGAAGTTTCTGACGAAACACCTATTGACGGCTGCGAAATCCCTGATTACAACATTTTGGAAGAAAACGGCTACCCCCACATTCCAACAGTAGTAGTAGAAATAGGGTAGTAGAAATACAGGCCATGGAAGCCATGACGGCGGACCTCCAGGGCCGTTCCGAAAAATGTAACCGGACCTGGACCCCTTGGCTCTTGTATATCTTGGAGGGCAGACAGGCATGGGTGTCCGCAGGGGGGGGGGGGCAAGAGGGGGCACTTGCACCCCCCTGGATTTTTCAGCTTGTTCTGCTATTTTTCGTGTGATTGAACATGAACTGCAATACCGGCGCGTATAGAGAGAGACAGGGATAGGAAGCTGCATCTTATCCCTGCTTCTCTCTGCTGATTGAAACCGCAGGGGAACAACACATGCAGCCAGAGACAGCCTACAGATCAGGTAAGTGAGGGATGGGGGAGATAGCCTATAGACTTGGGGGGGGGCAGCAGCCTATAGATTTGGGGAGGGCAGCAGCCTTTAGATTTGGGGGGGGCAGCAGCCTCTAGATTTGGGGAGGCAGCAGCCTATAGATTTGGGGCAGCCTGTAGATTAGGAGAGTGAGGCTGGGGGGGGGGCAGCATCCTGTAGATTAGGAGAGTGAGTCTGGGGGGGGCAGCATCCTGTTGATTAGGAGAGTGAGGCTGGGGGGGCAGCCTATAGATTAGGGGAGTGAGCATAGACGTGCGCAGCCTATTGCATTAGGGTGTGCACCCTAAAGCACAAACACACGCCATGTGTATATGTATGTATATGTATGTGTGTATATATATATATATATATATATATATACACTGGTAGTGTGCTATGTGGGTGAGGGTGTTTTTGTGTGTGTTTGTGAGAGTGCTGTTAGTGTGCTGTGTGTGAGGGTGCTGTTTGTGTGGGAACTGGTAGTGTGCTGTGTGTGTGTGTGTGTGTGTGAGAGAGGGTGTTTGTGTGTGCGTGTTTGTTCGGGTCCTGTTAGTGTGCTGTTTGTGTGCTGTGTGTGTGTGTGTTGTGTGTTTGTCAGGGTGCTGTTTGTGTGTGAGGGTGCTGTTTGTGTGTGGGTTTTGTGTGTTTGTGAGGATGCTGTTAGTGTGCTGGGTGTGTGTGGGTGCTGTGTGAGCGAGGGTGATGTATGTGTGTGGGTGCTGTTTGTGGGCTGTGTGTGCTGTGTGTAGGTGCTGTGTGTGTGCTGTATGTTTGGGTGGAGGTGGGGGCAGATTAGTTAATATCCCAGTCCTGCTGCCTTCCCTGGTGGTTCAGTGGAGAGTGAACTCTAGCCCGGGTTCTCTGCTGCCTCCCTCCATGCTGCTGTGGACCGGTGAGGTAGAACTTTGATCTCCCCACCGGCTCATGGAGGCTTAGACCGGAGCCGCCGCTCGGATAGCGTCGGCTCTGCATGAGCCGACCGGGGAGACCCAGAGATCTCCCCTGCCGGTCTCAATCCATTGGCGTGCCGCGGGGATTAGGGTGTGCCCATGCACACCCGACACACCCCGTGTGCACACCTATGGAAGTGAGGGATGGGGGAGACAGCCTACATGAAGAGTCAGCAAGGAGCAGGAAGGTAAAGTAAGAAAATGAGAAGGAACAGAAATGAGCAGGAAGGGACATCAAGGAGCAGAAAGGGGCAGCAAGGAGCTGGAAGGGACAGCAAGGAGCACAAAAGGTAAAGTAGGAGAAGGAGCAGAAAGGAACAGAAATGAACAGGAAGGGTCAGCAAGGAGCTGGAAGGTAAAGCAGCACAAAGGTAAAGTAGAAGGAGCAGAAAGGGTCAGAAATCAGCTGGAAGGGGCAGAAGGAGCACAAAGGTAAAATAGGAGAATGAGCAGGAAGGGCCTGCAAGGAGCAGGAAGGAGCACAAAGGCAAAGGAGCAGAAAGAATCAGAAGGAGCACAAAGGTAAAGTAGGAGAAGGAGCACAAAGGGACAGCAAGGAGCACAAAGATAAAGTAGAAAAGGGAGCAGAAAGGGTCTGCAAGGAGCAGAAAGGGATCAGAATGAGAAAGAAGCAGAAGGGCGCAAAATAAGCAGAAAGTAGCAGAAAGGTAAAAGAGCAGAAGGGGCCAAGGATAGAAAAAAGTGTCAGAAGATAAAAAAAGACTGTCAAATGAAGGAGAGGAAAAGGAGATTGGAGCAGGAAGGACAAATGAAGTGAACCCTCCACTTTATTCTGGACACCACATCATAAGGCTTTGGTACCTGGGCCAGGCAGGGAAACGCTGGACCTTCTCATCTCCAAAGGTAAAAAAATATCAGTATTAATGTGTTCACTTTTATTTACTGAGTGTCAGGAAGCACAGAGTGCCGTTGGGTAGGGGTGTTGCTGATTGGCTAGAGCGGTCAGCTGGCACTCTAAGCCAATCAGTAGCTCCCCATTCATAAAAAAGTAAAAATATTTTATGAACCGGGAACTAGCGATTGGCTTAGAGCGTCAACTGTCCACTCTAGCCAATCAGCGGCACCCATGCCTGACGTCAATCTGCACTTCCTGACACTCTGTTTCAGAAGCCAAATACCACTGACCGACCTGGAGCTGGAGGAAGCCTTTGGAGTTAAACCATTTGAGAGTGATTTAACCCCTTAAAGGAAAGCGAGCACCCAGGGGCTTCCTGGCATCATAGCATTTTCATTTAGGTGAAGTTGTTATGGTGACCAGAATGGTCCTTTAATTTGCTTAAAGGAAGACTATAGTGTCAGGAATACAAACATATATTCCTGCCACCATAGTTGTGAAAACGCTATTCACCCTGGCTTTATGTGATAATGGCTATGCCCCTTCCCTTTAATGACACTGTCAAAAAGGTACCAAGCATGGATGTTATTACAATTATGCCCCCCCCGGAAAAGTTCCTGCGGACGCCCATGCAGACAGGCCTCCTAAACCAACACACCAACCCGCTCCTTCACACTTCTTCCCTCGCACCCAACCACCCGGCCGCGTACCCCGCCCCCCTTTCCTTCTTCCCCCAACTTTCCCACACACACCCCCCTTTTTTTTTTTCTCCTATTCTCTCTCTTCTTCTTCTCCCCCTGACACTCTCCAGACTAGACAGGCCCGACTAACGGGCCAGACTGAGACTCACAGTAAATGTGTAACACTGAGAAGGCTCTGGACCTCGGACTGACCAGACCACAGGTGTGGAGAAGAGCCCAGACCTCCAAGGTAGCGGCAGAATACACGAACTAGGTAACCTGGATGCCCCAGACCTAAGATACACTTCAATGTAAGGGACAAAGGCGACATCACACAATAAGGCCCCACACCTGTCTGACACGACAGATGGCATACAGACAGCACCACGCCCCAATCTATACACCCAACCCATTACCTTGGAGACCAGTAAGCCACACACGCTCATCCACGCAGTGGGCACACGAAACGGACAACGACTACATGCCCAGGTACTGGACGGTCTGGAGCGCCCCGACCCCACACGCTTGGTCTCAGACCCGTAGCCTATGTGGACATGTTCAGACACGTCCTGAACCCGGTACAAGCAACCAACAGAACACCAGACTCAGTTCAATCCCCACACCTACTCTGATCATCCCCACAGAACAGAGTCAACCTGACAGAAATTAGGGAATACAAAGTATTATAAGTGAAATATTGTACAAATGTACAAAAGATACGGGATTGCATAGAGCAAACAATGTATACACAGACTAACCTTAACCGGCAGAAAGCAAATGACACTCAATGGTAAATTGTAAACTATCTCTGTATTAGATCACTTATGACAATCTAAGTCCTTGAACACTCAAACGAAGCGCAACTTATGCCTGACTATTATTCATGTTCCTATGTCTTATTATTGAAAAATTACATAAAAATAAAGATTGTCAAAAAACAAAGAAAGGAAACATTTGGAACAAAATTATCAAGGATGACCTGTTCTCAAAAAAATGACAGGAAAATAGGAACTAAATCCTTCCACCTTCGGGAGCTAAAAATAATCCAAATTAAGGCTGTCTATGAAAGTTTGGTATGAATGTGGTATGAATTTTTATGTAAAAACATCTCGTTTGATAGAAAATTGAAGGCCAGAGAAAAAAGATAGAAGAGAGGAGGAGGAAAGAAAAGGATAGATAGAAGATGGATAAAAATAGAGACCCCAAAAGGGATTGTTGATAAGTAGGTATTTTTAGAAAATCACAAATATATATATATATATATATATATATATATATATATTCAGAGATTCCGCTCCCTCCACTCTCCTCAAAATTTATAGGAATATTAAATTTTAGGATATAAATTTATTATCTCCGGAAAGAGGCAAGTTTCTTGTATTGTATGTTTTAAAGAAATGTCTTGTCTTTGTACTACAAATTTTTTTACAAAATTTTTTACTATGTAATCCAACTTCAACAGTGAAGGTAAATTTTATTATGAAGGTCCATTCAAAACTGCTCTAGATACATCCTAAAATTACATAAGATCAGAAAGATCCAATGTTAGATGTGTCAGAAGATGAACAGCAAAGAGACTTTTCTCGATCTTTTTCACCCGTTTTTGTACAGTTTTTGATGTTTTTTTTTTCTCTGCCTTGGCGTAGAGACTTATTTTGAGTAAATCATACTGACCGTGTGTCATGATGATGCTAATAGGGATATTATTTATGAGATATGGCTATAAAAGTTGCCTAAAATAAGTGAGCCTCAATTTTCTTTCTACCTTAAGACTAGAATTATATCTGGTATAAATAGTCTCATGAGGAAAATTACATTTTTGCATATTTAAACATAGTGACGATAAATACTTTGGATATATTTATATTGGAACATTATATAACACTGCTAAAATACAAGAATGCATTCATTTTGAGAAACTATAAACACAATAAAGACAATGTTTGTTATTAGAAAAGGAAAAGGAAAAAGGCAAGGGCTGCTTTCTAATGTTTGTTATTAACTTGAGATAGTTTAATGTTACCATGATGACATATAACTTGTTATGCTTATGTATAAACTAAAAGACCACATAATGATCAGTGATTAAGCTTGAGAACGATCTCAGTGTTGTCTTTTCAGGGCTGGTGCCTTATAAACAAAGTGCAAGATAACTGCAGGGTCATAAAGTTAAAATTACATAATGGCACAATAATTGCACAGTATTAGTTAGCGATTTAAACAATCACTATAAACACCACAGTCATTTTTTGACATTGTAAATGCTAAGATCCAGAAAGATCCCCACATCACGTCTTGCTGCTGAAAGTGACGTAGAAGTGATGAGATTTTAAGCACAGTGCCTTTATGAGTGACCACCAAGAACCTGGGGGATCTCCAGTGGTATTCCACACCGGCTGCCCTCAGGTGGCTAGTGACTGGTTGCAGGGATCGTTGCCATTGCAGTGTGGACCTGGAAGAAGGAGAGATTAGTCCCTTCAAAGGATAGTGGCGTCTTGCCTTGCATCGCTGTCATCAGGAGTCTTTTATCCTGTAAGGTGGAGCATCGGACAATCACATCCCTCACCATGGTAGGGGCAGCTCTGCCTGATGCTGGTAGATGGTATATCCTGTCTATGGAGAATTTCTTGGCTTGAGTCGGGGGCAGTATGGAGGCCACTAAGCGCCTCATATAATGAGGGAGCACGTACGGCGTGATTGTGTCAGGAACCCCTCTGATTTTCAGGTGGTTGCGCCATGACCTATCATCCAGCGCCGTGTAATGGAGTGAAAGGGCCTGTTGGTGTGTTTGCACAGCTAGGACTGTGGATTGAAGGTCTGAGAGTCACTGTTTGATTGCAACTCTGTCCTCTTCTGAGGCCTTCATCCTGGTGTCAACTACCTGTACGTGTGCCTTGATAAGTGCCACATCATCCGCCAGGAGGGTCTTGATCTCCTGGACCAGGTTGTGGAAGTCCAGCTGAGTGACCGGCGCTGACCCATCCGCGCTCTCTGCTGTGCACGGTACCTGCTTAGGTACTGGGTCTGGTTGTACAGGCTCATCTGGAGTCAGTGCAGGTCTGTGGTCCGCCTTGTCCGCTATTTTAGCCTTTTGATGTCGCTGTAGTAATGCCCCTATGTCCCTGGAACCTGATAGTGGATTCAGGGGGGGCTTCTGTGATGTGCCAAAGGTGATTGGTGGGTGTCTGAGTAGTAATCAGCCTCCGGGTCGCCAGCATCTGGCTCTGTGTGGGCTTGTAGGCCCTGGGCTTGCGCTTCTGCCTCTTAACCCTTGCCGGCTGAACGAAGACTGATTTTGTGGTGTTTCTTCCTAATTTATGGGAGTCTGTCTGTTCTAGAACATTACCTATGCAATGGCATCAGCATTAGGAAATTTACACTTTTTACCATACTTTTTTGTAATTTAAGCAGAAATGTCACGTTCCCAGTTTTATCTCAACCAAATAGCTAACTAAATGTTACCTAATGGTTGTGCAAAAAGTTTATTTTTGTTACTTTGTTTTCTTTCTTTGTATTCTATTTTATATCCTTTGCCATCCCAACTATGTAAATTAGTTAAACCTCTCAGGGCTGTACACACTGCGCATACACACTGCGCATACACACAAAGGACAATGCTAGAAAATATTTGGTGTCTGTATGCGCTCACATAAAATTTCTCATATTAAAACCTGGGAATAATGGGATGCAATGATGACTCAATAGGTTAGTGCAGCGGATCTAAGTTATTAAAAAAATGTTTTTTAAATTTACCTCTGCTGCCCTATTCATTTCGGTAAACACCTGAATGGTATTTACTGGCATGAAGCTGAAATGACCTGCTACTTCTCTCGAAGTGCCTGTTACTCTTTAAAGTATTTATTGAACATTTTCAACAAGAAGGAAAAACATATAATAAGTAAGTAAGCTTGTGGTAAGTAAGCGCCGTACATTGTTTTGTTTTTTTTCCATAGTAGTTTAATGCATACCTTATATAATATGTTAAAATTATTAAGGGTGTCAATACCTACCATTTGTGATTTATTAAACAAACAAATGAATATGAAATAATCAAATAAAGTAACTGTTACTTACAATTTGGGAACTTTGCATGTAAGTTATAGCTTGTACTTTAGTGATTTCAGTATACTATTTCTCAATAAGTGTGAAAAAGTTATGTACAGAGAGGAATTCTGCAACAGTTTTTGTAAACACACTCACCCAGTGTTTCCTCTTCTGGTCCATTTGCAAAGACACAAACTAAAAATAAAGAAATATTACAGGTTACAAATTATACTCACTATGATTTTTACCAAGCACAGATTTTCAGTAGTGAATGGCAAATCAGGTACTAACAAGTGAGCAAGGCACTGCTATTGCTCCAAATTGCTCCTTCCTGGGTAAAATCTAGCTCTAAAAATTGAAAAATTCAAAAGAAACATAAAAATAATGGAAAAAAAAGAGAGATTTACAAATGTTAGTATGCTTACCAATACAACCTTGTAATTGTTGTATTGTTACTTAATATTTTTTGTGCAGTCAATTTAAATGAAGTATATTTCTATAATTAATGAGCTTCAGAAAAAAATATTTATAGGCCACTCACTCTTATTTAACCATTTAAGCACCAGTGATAGTCCATATTTTCATAGGAATTTGTTCTTTAAGGATCCTATTACAAATTGCAGTGATTCAATTCAATTAAAGAATGGAGGGCTGCATGGACCTACCATAGACAAACAGTATGATCCATGCTGTCATACGTTCTCTAGGGACAGGATTGTGAGGCCCATAAATTGTCACATGTAATCCTTTTGTAATATTTTGTCTTTAAGGGGTTAACCATAATATAATTTTACTATTTATAAAACAAGAAAATATTTAACAGCACTGTATGACAAACAAGAATAGAAGGTGCTCTAGGCCCTGCTTAAATAAAGTTACATTCCAAACAGACTGAGGTTGTGTATGTATGCCCCCTTCCAAATTGGGTGTTCATTTAGCAAATCTAGGCTTCTTAATGTCCCAGGGACTTGAAAATACTTTGTTCTGTCTTAAACAGAAGTGTGTATTTATGATCTAACCTCTTAACAACGTTATGATATTTCATGCTGTAATGCCCTGAGTGGATCTTACGGAATTGGGATGGCATGGAATGTCCTAGCATTTTGGTGTGAGCAATCCCTGCACACACCAGGGAGTCCTGAGACCTGGGGCTCCCTACTGTCAGCTGGGATCATAGTTGGTGGCTGCAGAATGACAGCTGAGCTGTATGCAGCACTAAAAGTGAGAGTTGCATACAGCTCTTTAAATGGGCATTTCAATTTCTTTTGCACCACAACATGGTGTGAGCAGGGTTAAATCCCAGGCTAAAACCAGGGAGATCGAGGTATCAAATGATACCTGTGGTTAAGTAAAGACAGGAGGGACATATTTATTTGTCCCAGACGAACAGATGAGCTATATCCAGAAATTTTTAAATCCATTGCGAACACTGTGGCTTACCAGATCGAGCTTGGTGGTGATTCTCAGCTGGCAGGTGCTCAAGGAAGACCCCACGAGTCTGAACAGACCTTGACAGGTCTCTCATGCTGGAGTTTCAGCATTACTAAAACTAGGGCTTGGTTTGTGGAACAAAAATATTTCAGTTGTAATTTTTATAAATTCTTTCCCAAGTATAATTTAATAATGGGGTAATTACTAGCATAAATGCAGGTGCTCTGTAGAAACGTTTATTGGTGTGAACCTTACTTTTTAACATATTGATCATTTCACTGGATTGTTGGGAAAATGCATGACTAAGGCTCTGTAGGCTGAAACGTTGCAAATTTTTGTTGTATCCTGTCTGCACCAATATACGTTTCTTTATAGCACCTGCATTGCATAAACTGTGGATTATACTAAGATTCTACACCATCTATTAAGAAATTTGAAAGTTGCTTTTGGCATTTTTAAATGAGCCAGCAGTGGTGTGAAATTTTAAACTGTCTGTTTGGCGCCATAACCCTGCACCAAAACTACAGCACGTGTCATCCTATACTCACTGTGCGTGAGGGAGTCTTCTGTTAGACTATTATTATGGGTGTTACAAAGGAAATGAAAGCAAATTGAGAACAAGATTCTGGTGAACACTGTTCTGTCATAAATGGGTTTAATTTGGTTTAACCAGAAGACTAAAAATGTTTTTAGAGAACATATGTTTATAAACATAAAGCGCAGATGAACCCACAACAAAGAAACAGATTATGGCATGAATATATTTTGCATTTACAATTCGCTGTACCAAGCATCAATAGTTAACTGAGTTTTTTTAAGATTCACTCACAAATAATAATAATGACAAAGTATTTAACCAGGAAAGGCACATTTAGATTACTTTGGTTTTCACGTACGTCCTGGTGATGTTACCTTAGCCCAACATCCCGGGGTTGTTACTATTACCCAATTTAATGCTCCTTAATAGTAATGAGGTATACCATATGTAAAAAGAAATGCATATGAAACAATACTGCAATGATGAATTATTAAATGCTATGCTATATCTGGGAGCAGGATGGAAAGTTAGATTTCCATGTCTCTTTTATATAGATATCCAAAGATTATAAAATTATCCAAAGGAAAGGGTATACAGACAGAAAAAAACATTAGAGAGAGGAGAGCAGTTAAAGATATAGCATTAAATAAGGCAAAAAAACAGGGGAAAAAAGATTTTACCCTGGAGTAAAACAGTGGAAAAATGTCAATGGGAACTCCAGAGCAGATTGACAACTAAACTATATCATCTATAAATATCCAAATGATAGCTCCCTTGGGACTTCTTGCTAACCTAAAGTAAAAGTTAGCTTATATTTAGCTTTGAATAAAAATGTCAACATTTCAGTTTTAACATAAAAAAATGCCTTAAACCTCATGGACATGGAGTTCACCAGAGCTTCACAGGTTGCCACTGGAGTCCTCTTCCACTCCTCCATGATGACATCACGAAGCTGGTGGAAGTTAGAGACCTTGTGCTCCCCCACCTTCCATTTGAGGCTGCCCCACAGATGATCAATAGGGTTTAGGTCTGGAAACATGCTTAGCCAGTCCATCATCTTTACTTTCAGCTTTTTAGCAAGGCAGTAGTCATCTTGGAGATGTGTTTGGGGTCGTTATCATGTTGGAATACTGCCCTGCTGCCCAGTCTCCGAAGAGAGGGAATCATGCTCTGCTTCAGTATGTCACAGTACATGTTGACATTCATGGTTCCCTCAATGAACTGTAGCTCCCTAGTGCTGGTAATACGCATGCAGGCACAGACCATGACACTCCCACCACCATGCTTGACTGTAGGCAATGCACACTTGTCTTTGTACTCTTCACCTGGTTGCTGCCACACACGCTTGACACCATCTGAATGAAATAAGTTTATCTTGGTCTCATCGGACCATTGGACATGGTTCCAGTAATCCATGTCCTTAGTCTGCTTGTCTTCAACAAACTGTTTATGGGCTTTCTTGTGCATTATCTTCAGAACAGGCTTCCTTCTGGGACGACAGCAATGCAGACCAATTTGATGCAGTGTGCGGCATATGGTCTGAGCACTGACTGGCTGACCCCTCACCCCTTCAACCTCTGCAGCAATGCTGGCAGCACTCATATGTCTATTTCCCAAAGACAACCTTGCGATATGATGCTGATGCTATGCACTCAACTTCTTTGGTCGACCATGGCGAGGCCTGTTCTGAGTGGAACTCCTGTGAAACCACTGTATGGTCTTGCCCACCGTGCTGCAGCTCAGTTTCAGGGTCTTGGCACTCGTCTTATAGCCTAGGCCATCTTTATGTAGAGCAACAATTCTTTTTTTTCAGATACTAAGAGAGCTCTTTGCCATGAGGTGCCATGTTGGACTTCCAGTGACCAATATGAGAGAGTGTGAGAGTACCAAATTTAGCACACCTGCTCCCCATTCACACCTGAGACCTTGTAACACTAATGAGTCACATGACACCGTGGAGGGAAAATGGCTAATTGGGCCCAATTTGGACATTTCCACTTAGGGTTGTACTCCCTTTTGTTGCCAACAGTTTAGACATTAATGGCTTTGTGTGGAGTTATTTTGAGGGGCAACAAATTTACATTGTTATACAAGCTGTACACTTACTACTTTACGTTGTAGCAGAGTGTCATTTCTTCAGTGTTGTCATATGAAAAGATATAATAAAATATTTACAAAACTGTGAGGGGTGTACTCACTTTTGTGAGATACTGTATATATTCATACAAAGAGAGAAAGAGTCAACACATTGTTAAACATATCTGCACACACCAATCAAGCCATAGGACTTGCTTTTCCCACTGAAATCTCACATTTGCAGTGCTGTTACAACTGCAAGGGATTCTGGGTGGGAATATGCAAATTAGCTCAATAAAGAATCACAACTCCGGAAGAGATGGAAAGCCAGTGAATGACTCATGGACAGCTGTTTCATTGTTAATGCAACTCATCAGCATGAGGTTGGTTACTGGATTGTTGATGAGGATTTGCATTACTTGCGGAGCAAAAAACAAGCTGTCCATGAGTGGTTATCTGGCTTAGCACCTCTTCCTGAGTTGTGCTTCAACTGTGTTGTAAATAGTATATAGTATTTAATAAATATTAAAAAATATACTTATATTTACTTCTTTCCTGAGATTTTCATAGGAATATGATTCAGATCTAACTAGACCTTTCTTAAAATTTGTTTCTTTTGTGTTCTATTTCACTTAATTTATGGCATGACTCCATTTGGCCATTTTTATATTTGTTTCTAAGGCCTTGGCAGTCTTCCAGGGCCTGCAGCCTAGTCCTACTGCAGTTCCCTCAACTAGCCCTCATGAGACAGATTCTGATGGCTCATCAGTCCAACCATGAGCAAACTTTATGTAAACACTTCTGGACTGCTACATCCCTCATATTTTTCTCTCATACTAGGTTGGAGGAAATGGATCCCCTCGAGAGCTCAACATCTTACAACCTGGAGTTGATGAATTAGTACTGTATGGGTTCTCAGATGAGGAACTCCATCTTTCCAAGCAGGATTGGGTTAATGCAGCCACTCAATTTGTCAGAGAAACAATATTGGTAAACTCTGGCTAGGCACCTACTGACTCTAGACACTACAATCTTTGGATGAGGCCACCAATGAATTGCTAAAACAAGAGCTCACAAGGTCGTTGCTCATTCAGAACGTATAAGCATTTTATCCACTGGAGCAATCAAATGGTCCCCTTTCCTACCCTGATTCATAAGCAATATCTTTGTGGTGCAGAAAAAGACAGGAGATATTCTCAAAATTATCAATATCCAGGACCTAAATTTAATTGAAGGCATCAATTCTTTATGCAACCTACTCTGCGTGGGAGACTGGTTCTGACATTTAGATTTCAAGGACACCTACCTAGAGTTCCAGTCATTTTCATTGTTTTGTCCAATTCCTGTGGAGGAATAAACTTTGGCAGTTCTTCTGCCTACCATTCGGCCTCAGTTAAGCTCCCTGGTGTTACACCAAGCTGCTCAACATTGCCTTCATTTGAGCTAGAGTTGGCCATCCCATCATATGTTTGGACAATATTCTCCTTTTGGTTCAGTATCCAAACACTCTTCATCTCCATACAGACACAGTCTTGACCCTCTTGCAGAATATTGGCTTTGTTATCAACTTGAAAATGTCCAAATCCAACTAGCAGCAACCATTCAATTCCTGTTTTTTTTTTTTTTAAAGGATTCTGTTTTGGTGTTGTTTCAACTCTCACTATCCAAAAGAAAGTCGCTCATGAAGGACATTCAGAAGTCGTTGACATCTTTTCACATTTGCCTTCAGGATCTGTCTCGCAATTATTGGTCTTCTATCTACCTCATTACAAGCCATCTTACCAAGTCATTTGCACTACCAGGCAATGCAATGGCTGAAGAAACATTGCTTACAAACTTTGACCTCATACCACCAATCGATTTTGCTGATAAATTAAGTTTATCTGGACTTGGATTGGTGGCTACACAACATGCAGGCATGGAATGGGAAGGTGATTTTTGGATCCCAAACATATTTTATCTTGAAATCGGATACAAGCAAGCTGGGTTGGAGTGTCCTGCTCCTGACTCTCCACTTGCATTGGTCTTAATTTATATGGACTCTGGCCAAATGTTCCCTTCATATCAATTGTTTTTAATTAATTGCAGGCTCCTTCACAATCCAGTTTCACCAAGGATGTCTCCAATTGCTCTATTCATTACTACTACACACATCTCACAATCTCCATCGAGACCCAGCAGCAGGCAACTTTCATCCATTCACCCTTCAGGGTCATCTTTGTCTCATACCAGGACCTTTCAGGGGATCCTAGAATGTCTCAATTTTAACAGACACAGTTCAAGACCTACTATGGGATTTGCAGGCACCTGGTTCCAGAAGATTTTCCCTTTCTGCATGGCAAATCGGAGATAACTGGTGACTTAAAGGTATCTTGATCTCTTTTCAGCCTCTGTAGTGAATATTCTGTATTTTATATCTTCTCTTTACGACCAAGGCAAATCTTACCGAATGATTTTGATCTTTTGTTTCACTATTTCCACAGCTCATGTCCTGGTTGAAGGTTCTTGTATTCGTAGAAATCCCTCTAATGCATTTTCAAATAATCTTTATTACATTTTTGTAGAAATTTGGTGAAATAAACTAGGTAAGGTAAAGAAGAAAAAAGGGGAAATCATTTATCCATCCACAACAATATATATATATATATATATATATATATCAAAACACACAGATTGGTGATTACTGTGTTTAGTGCGCTTACAAATGTAATTGAGTTAAAAATAAGCAGCTACACACTCTAGTGGATACTCTCTTATCCCCACTAGTTATATTAATGAACCAAAGTGAGTTTAGTATAATCTGGAAATAACGTCCAGACTCTACTAATCAAATGAGTGGAGCGCTAAAGGTATAAACTTACCCTAAAATGGGGTTAAATCTCAGATGTATATCAGTTCATATAAAGGAAACAAAAAAACCCCAAAATATAGTGTAAATCCACAGGTGATAATGTATTTTGGTGATAATTCAAGTAGTCAAACTCACAAAAATAAAAAACACAGTGGTTATGGTTGTGCTCACCTTTTCCTGAGCCAATGAGAACCTGGCTCTGGATGATAGACCTGGGTACCTCTAGAGGGGGGCACCTGCCCTTTTTTAGCAGCAAGATGAAGTTAGAAGCTGATGGGAATTGATCAGAGCCTCAAAGGGACAGGCTCAAATCACTTGCACAGTAGTGTTTTATGGTGACACTGCACCCTTTTGCCTGGAATGGATTTCCTCAAAGGAGAGAGAAAGAAAGACTTCCTAGTGTATTAAGTTTCAACAAAAATAAAAAACACAGTGGTTATGGTTGTGCTCACCTTTTCCTGAGCCAATGAGAACCTGGCTCTGGATGATAGACCTGGGTACCTCTAGAGGGGGGCACCTGCCCTTCTTTAGCAGCAAGATGAAGTTAGAAGCTGATGGGACTTGGTTTAAAATACATACATTTATTGCAACTTTAAATATAAAAACAAAAACATAGAATTAAATAAAAAATATCCAGTTGCTTCCATATAAGATTAAGAATGTCCCAGTAATTAGCTCCAGTCCCGAGATGCGTTTCACCCACCGATTGAAAAAGCCCCCGTAGTGTGGGTGAAACGCATCTCGGGACTGGAGCTAATTACTGGGACATTCTTTTGACATGCAGTGTTTACTTTACAGCCTAGTGATAACTTCACTGGCTACTCCTAACAGATGGCTGTTAGAGATCCTTCCTGGGTCATTGCTGCCTAAAATGCATCAAAACATTTAGTATTCAATTTAGAGATTCAATTCATCTCTTTGAGGAGATGCTGATTGGCTGTGTTCGAATTGTGGTGGCTCTGCCCCTGATCGGCCTCCTTGTCAGTCTCAGAGAATCCTATGGAGAATCATTGTGATTGGATCAGGCCACCACTTCTGATGATGTCAGCTTGTTTTTCTGAGGCAAACAGCATGCAGATCTACAGCTTCAGGCTTGAATACAAGTAAGATTTTACTATATTTAGGGAGGCATGAGGGGATCACGGGGGCTAGATGGTGGTTTTAACACTATAGGGTCAGGAATACGTGTTTGTGTTCCTGACCCTATAGTGTTCCTTTGACCAAATGATCTAGATTTTTTAAAAGACAGAATGTGAATATTTTTATTATCTTATTCTTTTTATTTCACATCCCTCTATATTTGTTTATTTATTGATGATTTTCTTTTTATTTTCACTTGCATTGGTCTTAATTTATATGTATGGTTAATGATTACTGTATTTCTTTGTTTCTCTTGATTTGATATGTTCTTTTTCTATGCAATAAATTTGTGTGGTTTTCAGTCCATTAGATGATCCTCTCACAAACTGTCTTTCTTGGTAGTGTGAAGATTCCATATGGATTGGAACACATTTACAGAGTGTCAGACAGGATGTAAACGAATTACGTTATAAATGAACACCAATGCTGCTCAGGTTATTTTGGTTTTGTTATTTTCAGAATGTTGCGAGAGCGATATGCATTTAAAATAAAGCTGCTAAACATTAGAGAATGATGTGGCTGCATCTTTATATAATCTAAAGGTTTCTCTTTTGTGGCTGTCTTCAAATGGGAGACAAAACAAGCCATTTTAGAGAATCTATCAAAAATCATAGGGTAATGGTGAAACTATGAGACAAAGGCAGTTCTACAAAAAAATCCATGAAAAGATGGGACCACGAACACTCAGGAATGGGTAGAGGAGAGAGAAGGCCACATGAAAACAAGTGTGGAATCTTATTCTGTGCATACATGGAACAAGTTGCTCAATGTCGCTGATATCTTTAGTTAATTCTTCTCACCAGAGCTTTCTTTGCATAAAATAAAATGATTTTGCATGCACCCATATGTCCAGCAAATCTGGAAGACTGAGACATTTCCAGGAGTTGCTTCCTTAGTTTCAAGTACATTAAGTTTATTGAGTGGAGATGTATGGGGTTTGTCTCTTTGTACAGTTGGATACTTTAAATGAGTTAGAAAGAGAGTATGATATGGCAGCCAGATTACAACTAGACGGGATAATGGGTGGAGTATTTTCCCTTTCCTCCTTGTCTAAAGACAGTGTCTGCCATTCCATTCCTTGTGCAAGACCTGTAGATGATTATGTAATTAAATCTAGCAGGGAGCAGGGACCACCACTTGTCATGAGGACAATCTTTTGGCCTCAGCCTCACTGATGTAGCTGAGATTTTTGTGGATGGTTAGGATAAGTACAGGGATGACTGAACCCACTCCACTCCTTCAGAGCCAGAATTATGACTAAAGTTCTCTACTGCCAATGTCATTGTTCCACTCTGAACTATAAAGTTTCTTGCAATAGGAAAAAGGGAGGTTATTTGTGACAGGACAGCTCCAACTCCAATCTCTGATGTATCAAGTTCCAAGATGAATGGTTTATTGGGTTTGGGATGGACCAGAATGGAAGTTGACATGAATGGGTCTTTCAGGGTTTGAAATGTTTGCGGCACTGATTTATGCCAAATAATTGGGTCAGCACCTCTCTTGGTTAATGTTGTAATGGGTGAGATAAAGAAAAGACCTTGATGAACCTTTGGTAGTAGTTAGTGAACCTAATAAACCGTATGTCTCTAAGGCCTTGGGGGAGAGGTGGTCAATCTGCTACATTGTATAACTTCTCAGGGTCAAAAGAGAACAGGTCAGAGGAAAAATTATGTAGCCCAAAAAGGTATTTGATCCTTACAACAAACTCTCTCAAATATAGACGTAATAGTGCAAAAAGAAAAGAAAATAATGCAATAAATACATCATGGAAAGAAACCACTACTGAAAATTGCTATACACCAAAAAAAATATCACTTTGCCAAAAAACACCACCACAAATATGGTTACAAGTCAAGAAGAATAGGTACAGCTCTTTTTCGTTTAGATAGACCGACAGACAGATATATATATCTGAAACAATGGTCCTGTTTTTTAACAATACTTGAATAAAGATTTTGGAATGTTAAAGTCCGTGAGTGCCATCCTCAACTTGAATACCAATATCTACAATAGGTACAATAGGTCATGTGTGGAAAACTAAGTACACCCTTACTGCTTCCATAGGCGCTGTGAAGATGATTTTTTTCTAGTGCAGTGCGCCGAAAGGCCTAATAATAGAAGAGGACAATTGAAATTTAGCAACCTGTGTAGCTAGGATAATTCAATCTGATGGCCAGATGGGAGTTCTATGAACTCGCCATCTTGTTTATGACTGAACCAAAAGCAACAATTTCAGATGGATTGTGACTCATGACTGGATACTGAAATGTAACCTCGCTGCTACACTTGTTGTGGGTACCAATCTAGCATTAAAACCTTTGCTGCCTGGGGTCCACCTTAAGCTGTGAATAATGAAATAGTTAGGTCAGAATGCCCCCCTAGGTCCCTGTCTAGTTATCCTAACCTAAAGAAATGTGAACTCTGTTTCATTAAGAGTGTGATTCTGAAACCATTCTCAAAAACCATAGCCAATGGCCATTAATCCCAGGCTATTGACATTTACTAGGTAATAGCTTGAATAGTGCTGAGTTCTGATGGGCATCACTGTACCTCATTCTTAGCAGTATGTACATTAATATGGTTGAATATTGGGACACCAGTCTCAAACATATTATATTTGAATTACTGAAAATTACTCAATTTATCTATGTCGACATTTGAATAAAGAAAAAAATTGAAAATTCCCAAATGCTGTTATTTTGTTACAATATAACAGCTGACAAACATGAGAAAAAAACCCACACACATAATTTGCATATTATTACTTCTGTAACCGTTTTGTGACATCATGTATAAACGATAACACTAAGTAAAATAAATCAACAGGTAGATCATTTCTGTGATGACACAATACAAACATTTTCTTTTAATGCCACACAATACAACAGACCAAGAACTATTGAGGCACTCTGCCCATTTAAGGATGAGACTGTTAGGATGAACTATTGTTCATTAATAGTTTCCTCAATTAGAACACTGAGCCCGGAAAACCAATGATCAGCATACAGTAAATGGTGCTCTGTGAATACCCACATCACTGAACACTGCAAAACTGACGTCTGATATACTATAATAAGGGTACGTACGTGCAGAAAGAAAATCTTAATTATGACTATCATAATAAAAACAAAACCTAATTTTATTAAGTAATCATCAATTGCAGACATAATGCAGAGGAAATCACTCAAAAACAGACATTTGTGAGATGAGATATCCCATAAAGTGAGTGAGTAGGATAAGTTGTTAGCGTTGTGTGTTTTGATAATGATTTTTAGAAAAGGAGCGAGATTAACATAATTGACAGATGGAAGGATGAAGAGAACATCCCAGTTAGAACTTACCTAGAGACATCAAACTGACGGTAAGTGACAAGAGGCTCCTGTATAACGCTGAGCTCATGTTTCAGGGCTGCGTCTCAGAAGGAACATGGAAATTGCTAAAGCTCGCTGCAGAGGATTACACTTAGTACAGAGCAAAATGGGTGACAGTGGGTGCTGTGAAAAGCAGTGACACCCTGTAACATTGTGAAACAACAGCACTTCCTCAAAACACCCCATGCTTCCGTATTGTTCAGACTTTCTAAAAAACATCTTGTAGGTAGCAGCAAATAGTTAGGTCTCATTGCTTCGTATCAACGTTCTGCTCGATGTATCTGAAACTCCCTGCTACAAACCCTTTTCTTTTTTTCTACTCTGTGATGTTAACTCTGCATGTGCCAGGAAAAAAAGTGCCCCGGTTTCGAAACAAAAAGTGAAAAACGGGAAATTGTATAACAGCCCTGATTTTGACTTGATATATATTTCAAATACTAGCTGATTGTTATCACGCTTTAATTAACATCTTAGCCTTTGCAGCAATTCTATACTTACAGTTAGATCCCCTGGAACAGAAACACAAGACTATCCTCTCTCTGTTCTGGTTGCAAACTTCTAAAAATAACAATATGAGCATGTGTCAGTAAAGTAAAAGGAAAAGGAAGCAAGTTAATAAATAGTCAGAAAACATCATTATAAATTAACAAAGAAGGGAATGGCTAATATAATACAAGAAGGAAGAATAGAAGTTATAAGTTTTATTAAAAACACCTAATCTAGGCAAAAATTAATGGGGATTTAGTTACATTATATGATCATACATTGCATAAGCCTGCCACAACGTCAATTAAACATTTTATAAATTTCCTGATAGACAGGAAACACTAAACCCCCTGAATATATATATTAACGGGTTCAAATCTAAAGCTTCCTAACTTTCTAGTAGTCATATCACAGATGTATTTGCCATTCTAAATATAGAAGAGCCTGGTTATTGGCTAAGGATTACCTCTGTACATGTTGACTGAGGCTCACCTTGAGAATTTTTGTTGACCTATTTAGATCAGTGATGTACAGGAATAAATATGTCCAAAGATACCCTCTCGTTGTTCTGACCTTCTGGGTGTGTGTATATCATTGCATGCATATAGCATACCTCCCAACATTCTAAATGACCAAAGAGGGGCACTTTAATTTTAGGGGTGAAGGGTGTGGTGACTTACTCATAACAATTTATGCAACAACTACAAGAAAAATGTATCTAATCACACAGGCTGATTTTATTGCTGTGGAGCTCTGGCAAAATTATGGGACTCCTAGTAAAGAGAGGAATCAGGATCAAAAGGAGGAACAGAAGAATTTAAGCCCAAAAAGTTGGTCTTTTAAATTGGCACACATGGGAGCTATGATATAATAGTAGCCCTGCTTCTCGAAGTAGGTCCTCTGTGTCAGTATGGCAGCCACATACCCACCAGCATTCCTTGAGTACCGTGCCTTCTGGCTACTAGGTAAGCAACCCAATAATACGACCATGACATGCTGATCCTGTTTACCATATTAATCAGATTTAAGCTATGTATACTCCTTTAAAATGTTGGGCCATAAAGCATTGATGTGCTGTCCAACATTACATTTTTTGGTCCAAAACTGTTAGAGTATTATTTTCTTCCTTATACATCCATCTAATTTACACGCATGGGGCTAAGAATCCATTACTGACAGTGAAGGATTATTATGCCAAGTAAGGAAATCATTAGTTATATTAATATTCTAGTGCTTTCAGAGGCTGAAAGACCTAAATTGGTCTTTCAGCCAAATTTACTAATACTAAGTAAAAATGAATTAGTATTAGTAAATTCTGCCCCTACTCACTATACTGCGAGTAGGGGCATGTATATTAAACAGTGAGCAGCCTTTGGCTGCTCACTGTTTAAAAAACAAACCAAAAAAAACCCAAGTGTCCCCCCTTCCGAGCCCCAACCAATCAGAGAGTTATGAGTCAGAATACACAGCATGGGAAAATATCAAAGAACTTTCCCACGCTGTGTAAAATGACACAGAGCTCTTCATTTACCAGTCAGAGCACTCTGGATGGCTTAAACCAACCAATCAGAGTGCTCTGAGCCTAATTGCCAGGCGAGTTCAGTCTGCACAGTTAGGTTCCTCAACACGCTAACTATAGGACTAACAGACAACCCAAGCTAGACGTATTACCGGTCCTTAAAGTGGCCGGACTTAACGTGAAGAAAAGTAAGGAGAGTAACAGAATAATCAGACGAGCCGAGGTCAGGATAGGAGAAGGAAGAATAAATGAGAAACAAAGCCAAGGGTCAAGGAAGCCCAAAATTATGGATAACCAGAGAAAAGCCGAAGTCAGATACCAGGAAACACACAAGTATACAGAACGCACTCTCGGGCTACAATAGACCACAATAGGGCAAGGAAGTGATGTAGGAGGGAGGTATAAATAGGGCTAAGAGAGATCTGATAGGCTAGGGAAGAGGATAGGAGATATTATAAAAGGTAGTATCGCTTTAAGATTTCAGCGGCATCCCGCGCGTGCATGCGCGCGTGCCTGGTCGCGTGCGTGCGCTGTCAGTTGGAAGCCTGCAGAGCCTGGAGGAGCAGAGCAGACGGCGGGACCAGAGCAGCGTGGGGCGCGAGGAGGTATGACACTTTTTCAGCGTCAGGGTTTTTTCCCGTTTTTTTTTCCGTTCGATTTTAGAAAAAAGAAGACATCAAATGGTAAGATACTTAGTTATTGTTCCCCCCTCACTAATTTTAGGGTGAGGGGGTAGGTAGGGGTTTATTAATTTTTTGGGGGGAGGTTGGTGACCAGGGGATTGAAGGCCCCTAGTCACCAGGGGGGATACATTTTTATTTAGGGCCCCCACCCGCCGCTCAGGGGTGGGGCCCAGGGGGAGGACATTTGGTCCCCCCCCTTATTTTACTTTAGGGCCCCCACCCACCACTCAGGGGTGGGGCCCAGGGGGAGGACATTTGGTCCCCCCCCTTATTTTACTTTAGGGCTCCCACCCGCCGCTCAAGGACAATAGGTCTTCACCCACTTATTTTTATTTATGGCCCCCACTCGCCACTCAGGGGTGGGGGCCGGGGGGAGGACAATAGGTCCCTCCCATATTGGTATTTAGGGCCCCCACCTGCCGCTTGGGGGGGTCGTGGTGGGAGGACAATAGGTCCCCTCCCCTTATTCTACTTTAGTGTCCCAACCCACCGCTCAGGGCTAGGGGCTGGGGGGAGAACAATAGGTCCCCCCCATTTGAAGTAATTTAGGGCCCCCTCCCACCGCTCAGGGGGCTGGGGGGGAGGACAATAGGTACTACTTTAGGGCCCCCACCTGCTATTCACTGATGGGGCCGGTGGGGGGAGGACAATAGGTCCCCCCCATTCTACTTTAGAGCCCCCACTCGCCGCTCAGGGCACAGGTGGGGGCTCAGAGGGGGGACATTGGGGTTTTGTTTTTAACAGTGAGCAGCCACAGACTGCTCACTGTTTACTAGACATGCCCCTACTCACAATATAGCAATGTGCTGAAGTTCCAAACCAAATATTTTCCCCATGCACATCCCTAGTACTCAGGGCTGCAACCTCCAAGTTGGAAGAGCTGCTTCACCAGATTATTTCCAGGCGAGACTTCTGAGATCTCTGTCTAAAAGAGTGCAGTTCTAAGGAACAGCTAATATATTGCACAGAAACAGACACTATGGCCAAAACATTGTTCAGCATGCTGTGAGGACCTATTCTGTGTTTTTTTACCAACAGATGTGAGCTGGGTATTTTACTTTTTGGATTCTGTAAAGAGTAAAAAGGTTGTCTCTGGAGGTGTTACCTACAGCTGCATGAGATGAAAGAATGATATGAAATTCATCACGTGAGCAGGTCATCAATAACGTTGCAAGAAACAGTCTGCATTCCTCATACTGTGCAGCTCAGGTTAATGGTGGTCACCAAAATATATGATGTTGCATCTTATGACTCACTCTAGATATTATTAGTTGGGAAATGTAGCTGACATCTAAACAAATTATTCACACCAAGTGTTTAGACGTATTGATTTTAATTTTGATACCCGCGAGTATGTACTAAGGATTGCACCCATGCATTTAAAAATGTGATACCATTTACCTCTTCTATGTGAGTTTATTGTTTCTGAAATGTAGAACACCACCATGGAATTGAAAATGTTAAGTCAAGAGAAACTACTCTTGCCTCAATTCTGCAATTCCCATTTAAGTTCATCACAATTCTTAATTTTGAGAATGAAACACTGATAGTATATTAACTATAAAAATAAAAAGGTTGAAGCACTACACTTTGTCCACATTAGTGTGGGATTTATTCAATAAAGAGGGAGATGTATTGACCTGATAACAAGTATTTAAAGTTATACATCCATTTGTTTAATTTGCTAACTTATGGGGTAATCATTACAAGTATATTAATCATTAATATTACATATTTTTTCTGCTACTAAAAATAAATTGTGTAACAGGATTATCACATACTAATTATCAATGAATACAGTGATATAGCATATTATTGTCAGCGGTATAAATCCACCTGCGTCAGTGTTATTAGCCAGCCTGTAATGAGAGGCTGGCTATTGTGAATTCTGTTTATTTTCCATCTCAGAAGACCAATGGCGGCATTGCTATCCACCCTGTGCCACCCGAGTCCCTCCCTCAGCCCATCCTTCTTGATATCCTTCCTTGGCATGCCAGGTTGGCTTACTACAGGAAAAAACTGTTTTATTAAAACACTGGTTTTGGTTGCAGTAACCCTTTTAAATGAAACAAGATGTTACTTATCCAGACAAAGTAAAAATTACTACAAGGACAAAAAAAGAACTTTGATTTCAACCGGGAATAACATTATCAGTAGGAAACAGGCAGGGCCGGACTGGGACGAAAATTCAGCCCAGGCAGTTAATGGCAGAGCAGCCCACTGTAAGGGGGGGGGTGGGACATGTTAATTGTGTGTGTATCAAGGAGATTTTGTGTGTGCATGCATATATAAAGTAGTGTGTGTATAGAGTGTGTGTGTGTGAATGCATGGGGGTGTGGTGTGTATAAAGGGATATAGAGTGAGTAGTGTGTGAGTGTAGGAGGTGTAGTGTGTGTTTATAAGGGCTATAGAGTGTGTGAGTGTGGGAAGTATAGTGTATGTTTAGGGGGTATAGAGTTGTGTATTGTGTGTATGTGTGTGCAGGGGGTGTAGTGTGTGTTTAAAGGGGGTATAGAGTGTGTGAGTGCAGGAAGTGTAGTGTGTGTTTAGGGGGTATAGTACAGGATGGCAGGAGAA